CCGAAAATTCCTGGACTTGGGGTGAGTGGAGGAGCCAGAAGCCAGGGCCTGGAGCTGTGGGGCTAGCCGCAGCCCTGTAGGCAGCACTGCCCCACCACCCGCTGTCCTTCCTACAGGGTCACTCTACGCAGAGCCTCCACTGGCAAGAGCCGGAAGGAGAAGGGCAGTAACCGCCTGTCCATGGGAAGCAGGTAGGAGGACCCCACAGTGCCCACACTCATGCTGGTAACTCCCTGGGGGTGCCCAGCCCTTCCCTTTGTGCCCACACCCATGCTGGGTGCTCTCTCTGCAGGGAGTCGGTGGAGGGGTCTGGCAGATCCGGGGGCTCCCCATTCCTGCCCTTCTCCTGGTTCACAGACAGTGGCAAGGGCTCAGCGTCCTCTGGCAGCACCATCTCTCCTGCCTGTTCCCCTAAACATGAGGGCTTCAGCCCCAAGAAGTCAGCTTCTCAGGTGAGTCCATGACTTTCTCACCCCCAAACAAGTGACAAGGGAGGGCACACTTCTGGGACTCAGGCTGGGGTTCAGGTGTGACTCATTCAGTCACCCACTCTGAGTTTATTTGTTCCTTTGTTCAGACTCTCCACTGCTCAGTCATTGTCTGGTCCACATCACACACTTACTGAAGACCACTGGTGTTATGTCAGGGGTGGGGTTTGGGGAAAACAGGATTAAATATGACCCCAACCTAGTGCTCAGAAAGCTCACTCAAAACTTTGTGAAGCAAGAGTTGAGTGTCTGCTGATGTTCACGAAGCTTTTTACAGTTTACAGAGCCCCCAACACATGTCTTTCTGCTACTCACAGTAGCTCAGTGAACCAGGCATGGTAGGGACGTTTGTGCCCATTGAGCAGATAAAGAGTTGAAGGCACCCAGGGAAAGGACTTGCCTACAGACTCACTCACGTTTTGTTGCAAGTCTTTCTAAGCCCCAAGCCCAGTGCTCCTTCTATAGTTCTGTCCTCATGCACTGTTGGAACAGATGAGACCAGAATGCAGGGAATTCAGAAAAGAATCAGCCTCTTCTGATTTGGGACTTCCTTCTATTCTTCCTCCCTGTTCACCCTCCTCCCTGCTTTTCTTTGTTCCCTTGTGCTGGGCCCTGGAGCTACCATGGTGAACGAGATACAACCCAGGCCCTTACAGAACTCACAGTCCCATGAGGACAAAGACCTCTAATCAGGCACCCCAGGGTGCTAGAGGTCATGGTGGGAGGCACATAGCAGGGACACCTGAGCCAGTCTGCTGGATGTATTGTAGGCTGTCTGCAGGAAGCGAAACCTAACCTGAGACTTCTTCCATTTCTTCCAACAATTCTGCCTGGCTCACTTGCAGCCGCATGTCCTCCAGATGGCTGCCCGCTCTCTCAGAGGTCACAGGTCCTCACCTGTCACATGATCACCATGTCCCATGTGGGCTGAGCCATGTCGCACGCATGAGGGGCTGAGCAACTCTGGTGTCCAGCCCAGACCCATTTCTCCATCCAGAAGGGTTGAGGACTCTCTTGGCTTGGGAGTGAGCTCTGTCTGTTCTCAGCCACATGCACCTCTCCTGTGCAGGAATCCACCCTGAGTGATGACTCTACGCCCCCCAGTAGCAGCCCCAAGATCCCAAGTGGCCCCCGGCAAGAGACCAAGTGCTCCTACCCCTATCACACGCTGTCCCAGTCTTCAGATGAGGTGAGCAAGGTTGGCCATCATGTCAGCTGGCCCTGACCTCTGACTCTCTAGGCCACAGGCCAGGCCTCCACCCCTCACTCTCCTTGGTCTCTGCCCAGTTCCTGGATGAACCCCTCCCTGCTGTCCACCACTGGACCAGTCAGCAGGTGGGCCAGTGGCTGCACAGCCTCAACCTGGAGCAGTACGTTGCTGAGTTTGCTGCTCGGCAGGTGGACGGGCCACAGCTACTCCAGCTGGATGGAAGCAAACTGAAGGTAGGCTAGGGTCCAGCCAGAGCCTCTCTTCACCTGACCTTTGACTGTAGCTCAGCCCCCTGGGCTGGCCTTTTCCTTCCAAGACCCAAGTTCTTTGGCCTAATCTTTGTACTACAGCGTGGGTGCTCAGTTTGAGCTGAAACTCAAGGCCGGTTCTTTGACTTGACCTGTAAATGCTAGCCCAGGTCTCCAGACTGGCCTTGACCTCTAAGACTATCAACTGATAAGTCTCCTGGTGTCCTGGAGCAAGCCTTTCCTGGGCCATCTCTGCCTGGGTCTCAGTCTCTGGCAGTGGTGATGGTGGGTCTCAACCGCTGACTAGCTGTGTGACCTTGGACAAGTCACTCTGCACCTCTAGGTCTCAGGGGGGCAGTAGGGGTCATTCTAAGGCTAAAATCTGGAGAGACTCAGGCCATCTCTCGCAAACACTCTCTTTCCAAATTTGAACCTGTTGGAGAGTCTTACTCGGGAGGTGGAGGCTTACTCAGCAGCAGAGAGAACCAACAAATCATCAGCAGGGGCATAGGTTGCCTGGGGCCCTGGATGCTTCCAGGACTCCTTCCCTCACCCTGGGATTCCTCCCCAGAGCCTGGGGCTCAGCAACTCGCATGACCGAGCGCTAGTGAAGCGGAAGTTGAAGGAACTGGCAGCCGTTGCTGAGAAGGAGCGCAAGGCCCAGGAGAAGGCGGCTCGGCAGCGAGAGAAGCTCCTCCGGCGCAGAGAACAGGAGGCCAAGAGGAGCTAGGGGAGGCGGGGCAGGCGCTGGCACCCAGCAATGGCACCTGGGCACTGCTCGGCAGGTGCTGGCCCCACGCTCCCAGGGGCACACATCCCTGTCACCCTGTCTGGACCTGGAGCCAGCAGGAAGGGAGACCCCAGGGAGAAGGGCCAATAATAAATTCTGTTTCAAGGACGTGTTTGGCACAGAGTTCCTGGGGGAGGTGTCAGATCAAGCGAAGAAAACAGAAGGGACATTTCCCCACCCCCCCAGGACCCCCCCCAGGAACCTAGGTCAGGCTGACCCTCTGCCCTTGGGCCAGAGTGGTGCTGGGGGCCCTGAAGTGAGCTGGCTGCCTGTCTGCCTTCCCAAGGTCCTAAGAGAGCTCACCAAGGTAGCTGAGAGTTGGGGTGCTGTGCTTCTCCCCAGGAAGGTCAGTGAGCGCTGCAGCAAGTCACACTCAGGGTAGACTCCCAGCTACTCTTCAGCAGGAGAGCAGAGGAGGCAGCATGGGGATACATAGGACCTTTGTATGGCCCTTTGAACAAGGATGAACATCCATCCCCCTTCTCCTCCTCTTCCCTTCCTTGTCCCATGGATCCCAATGGCTGAGATGACATCCAGGTGGGTCTGCCACTTTTGGGGCCCATTCAAGGCCTGGCCACTGTCCAAACTGGGGCCCATTTCTCCTCCAGCGGCTCCATCAGAGGATGCCTGGGCCCTTCTGTGGGCAGAGCAACCTGGGAACGGATGCAGCAGACCCTGCCCTGGCTAGTGAATCCTTACCCCAGCCAGGCAGAGGCAAAACCTGGGCAGTCCTGAAGCATCCGGACTGGGTTTGTCAGGGCTTCAGTGGCCCAAGCTGGTGGGGCATGGGCCACTAGGAGGGTGAACCAGTCCTCTGGGCGGGGGGTAGGGGTCAGCTCTGTCCATCCATCACAGCCTTATTAGGGGGTGTTCAGGAGAGAGCAGGTCTAGTCCTAGCTAGCAGCTAGGCCAGCTTCTGGGGTCCCATCAGAGTTACCAATATAGTCAGGGGTCTCTGAGTGGAACCCCTCTGCACACCTGCTGGGAGTGCAGGACAGGCGCTAAGGAGTGCACGGGGAGCTCTGTTTGTGGTTAGGGGAGCGCCAAGCCTGCTATGGCCAGGGCTCTGTCCTGGAGACCATGCAGACAAAGACCAGGGGGCTAGTGGCGCTGGCTGGGGCTGCTGGAGGGGTCAGGGGAGGCTGGAAGGCATCAGGAGCTATAGTGGGTGCCCACCTGCATGTGAAGGAGGAGGTGGCTCTCAATTTATTTCAATAAACATGTATAACGTGCCAGTGGACCTTCTGTCTGGCCCTGTCAGGGGCTTGGGCTGCTCAGGGAACCTGGCAGTATGGAGGGGGTTGAGTCTGCCGCAGCTGCTGGCTCTCAGTGTTCTGAACGCATGGCTTTGGCTGGGGCTCTGCTCATGGTCCACACTGGGCTGGCCTGGGTGCCCGAATGTGTTGTCTGTTGCTCCCAGGGTACCAGTCTCTCTGTGTGTGTGTGCGCACGCATGTGTGTGATCCCGGTCCCTCTGTCCCTACTTCCCCACAAGAAAGCAGCCAGGCCGTGGTCTCATTCAGTCTCCTCTTTACTGTGGATGTCAGTGTCCCCGCCACAGCCAGTGGGAGGAGGCGCACACACCTTTAACCTGTCGTGCTAGGGAAGGACATTCAGGGCTAGAAAACTAGCTATGTACACAGCATTCTAGGAAGAAAGCCAGCCAAGCACAAGTGTGTCTAGGCACAGCAGGACTTGGGATCTAGATCTCAGGCAAGGACCATGGGGGGTGGGGGCAGAGGTGTGTGTGTGTGTGTGTGTGTGTGTACATGCCAGGAGGGGCTGGGGTGAGGGTAGAGCCAGCAGGGCCTCAAGTGGACAAGCATTTCCCTGGCTCCCCAACTGTAGGGGCCTGGGGGAGAGCCCCCTGCCTCCCTTGCAACCTTGCCCTTAACATTCAGAGTGGAAGGAGAAGTTGTAGGACCAGGTACCCCTAACTGGGGGTCTGGGGCCCAACCCCTCTACCTACTACCCCCGGTCTAGGGGCACCCAGGCCTTCCTAACAGTGACAACACGCCAGGACCAGGGCTGGGGTGTAAGAAAAGCAGGGGCACCCACGTGAAAGTTCAGAGGTGTGTAGGGCAGTGAGGGGGGGCCCAGGACCCCTAGCAGAAAGTGAAGCTTGGTTTCTGGGAGGAGGACTGCCATGGAAGTCTCTGGGACACTGTGTCAGGGTACAGAGGTCTCCCATCTCTCAGGCTTCACTTACAGTGAGGGCTCTCCCTGGAGACAGAGATTGGCACTTCAGGGCCACCACAGACTGGTCACCACAGTGACCTCCAGAGAGACAGGGAAAACTCCCCACCCCAGGCCTTGAGGGACAGGGAGGGTCACCATGGTGGCTGGTCCCAGAGACGGCAGTCCATCCTCCCAGGCACAGATGAGTGGGGGCCCCTAGCTGACACGGTAGGTGGACGTGTTCTTGGGCTCTGTGCTGGGCACACACCAGTCACCGGCCTCCTGGATGGTCTGGTAGTGGCGCCACGCTGACTTGTTGTAGACAGGCAGCCGCTCCACTGAGTCCGTGGACAGGGCCTGGAGAGCATTGGGGTCAGCCTCCCCTAGCTCCTGGTGCTTGCCCACTCCCACCATACCACCGTCTCCCCACGGTGGACTGTGGTGGCCAATGGCTGTGGCCAACATGTCCCACCCCATGTTGGAATCAGCCCAGCCCCACACCAGACACAGAAGAGCTAAGGATCTCGGCCCGGCCCGGAGAGATGCAGCAAAGGGTCTGCCCGTGACCCCCCTATCAGCCACAAAAGCTGCCCACTGAAAGGGGAGGGCTGGAGATGGAAAAGGACCTTGAGCAAGGTCACTGCCGAACCTCCGCCTCCCCTGAGCATGAGGAGCTGGATGACAGGATCTCCCTGTCAAGGTCACCGGGACAGTCTTAATTCTGGGCTTGCCCCGCCTCCCACCCCCCAAGAATTGTCTGTCCTGTTGTGAGTGCTCGGGGAGCAATACAGGTTCAGATTCCCGGAGTCAGGGACCAGGGAGGTCCTAGGGCGATGGATGTAGGCACCTCACCCCAGCTGTCCCACAGACAGAACCTCACCTTGAGATAGATGACCGCATCGGTCCCAAAGCCCTCCATGGAGAAGAGCTGCAGGTCCCCCTGGAAGTACTTGGCATAGAGGCGGGAAATGGGGAGCCCGTAACCAAAGCCAGCCTGCAAGGGGGCAGGAGGGGAGTGGGATGCTGTCACGTGGCTTCTTGGAGGCTACGGGACTGGTATGGGGAGCGGTGGAGGCATGGATGTGGGTCACACAGGGTAGGATTCCCAGAGCTGGGGCACAGAAAGAGAAAGCCCTGAGGCATTCTGGGGTGTGTTGGGGATAAGGGAACTCCATCCAGTAGAGGGAGGGAGGCTGTGGAGGCAAAGGGAGGGTGTGTAGGAAGGTTAGGGGTCAGGGTGTGGGGTGGGGGAGGAGCTGTCTCAAGTAGCCAGAAGCCCTGCATACCAGTCTGGATAGGTCATGGGGCTCCTCTGAGCCTCAATTTCCCAATCTATAGAAAGGGATGACAAACTCTTGGTGGAGAGTGACAGGGATATCCAGAGGAAGGCAGTAATGCATCAGGGAAAGACAGAGGGGGGAGGGTGACAGACAGACACCACCAGACAGCTGGATGAGGGCAGGGTGGGGAGAGACAAGACTCAGGAATGGCAGGTCCGAGACTCGGGGGAGACAGGTGCCACCATATACAGCCACAGAATGCGAGGGAGTGAGACATGGGGCAGGGTGACACCATCTCACCAGTGGGGTCCCCCCAGTGCCAGGCTGGGGGGTGGGTGCTGTGGAGTACATGTAGCTAAAGAGACGCTCGATCTTCCTCAAGGGAACACCCCCACCTCGGTCACTCATCTAGGGGGGATGAGACATGTCAGGGACTCTCCAGAGCTCTTCAGAGTTTCCCATACAGCGCCACCCTTCAACCCCCACGTCTGTTCTAAACTCATCACACAGGAGGGTGAGAAGAGAACCCACCCATCTCCTGGCAGGTGGGAAGCCTGGAAGTACACCTGGAGCAGGAAGGATGCCTAACCAGTCCCCACTGTCCCTGGTCCCCAGGGTCAGGGACCACATACTTTGATGGACAGATCTTCCTCTCCCAAGGCCAGCATGACCTTGATAGGAGGGAGAACGAGGTTGGATTCGTGACTTTCCACAGTGGCTCGCATAGCATTCTATGGGGAGAATGAGGTGGAGAGGTGAGTGAGAGAAGCCGAGTCCTGACCCACCCCCTCCAGCCCCGGCTCTGCCACAAGGGACCATCCGTCCTCCCCATCTCCTCACCTTGAAGAGCTCAAAAAGCATGTGGTAGAGGTGGGAGGGGACGTAGACCATGTGAATTGGTTGTTTGGGGTTGGATGCTGCAAGAAAATCAAAACCAAGAATAGGAGATTGTCAAGATTCAACATTTCATTCACCCAGGATCTAGCATCCAACCATCTGTCCATCTGCTTGTATATCATCCAGCATTCACTCGCCTGTCTGTGCATTCATTCAGCGCCATTCTCTGTAGGAAGTGCCAGGAAGGTGTTGGTGAGTTGAACCATGTCCAGAGAAAGGTCCCATAGTCATCCTTCATACAATGTCTGTCTGTCCATGCGTCCATTAGGTGTATACTCAGAACTGTGTGCTAGACCCAGGCTGGACCCTGGGGTGCTGACACACACAGAGCCATCATCTCTGCCTTCTACTCTCTTGTACCCACATAATTGACACCAGTATAGCAGAGAGGTGCAGCTGGAGCAGCGGGGATAACTAACTACCTCATCTGAGAGGACAGGAAGGCTTTCTGAGAAGCTGGGCTCGAAGATGAGGATGTCGGCAGAGTGACTTCCAGGTTCCGAGGCCTGGGAGAGCTCAGGCACACAGGCATCGGGGTGGCTGAGGAAACTTCCAGGTCCCTACTTCTCTCTCCATATAGCCAGTCTTGACACTTCTACCTTCCAGGTAATTACCAAATCTACCCCTTTCTCTCCACCTCCTATGCCTCCAGCTCTCTTGGCTTGGAGTCCTATAGTAACCTCCTAACTGGTCTTCAAGGGTCCTCTCCCACCCTTTAATTACTTTTAGAATATCAGACCTGCTGTCACCCTGCTTCAACCCTTCAATGGCTTTCCGTCATGCTCAAAACCCCTGCTCCTGTCCATGGCCTCTGCATGTCCCAGTCTCTCTCCAGTTCAGTGGTCCTCAACCCCCCAGCCCCACCACACTGGTCCTTAGTAAGTAAGGCTTTCCTTGGCTGCTCTAGCCGACGTAGGCCCCTGTAGCTGTCCTCTCACATCCAATTCCTCCTTCTCTTGTACAAGAACCTCTTCCTCCCCAGTGCTAACCAGCTACCCAGCCATTTTGTAAATTCCCAGCCTCCTTTGCAGCTGGATGTTGCCAGGTTACTTATGGAAGTGATGTATCCACCCCTGAGGCCCTGCCTTGCATGTCATCTTTCTCACTTCCTCCAGGCTGGAACCCAGACCTGGTGGTGGTGGCCAGTTCTGACCATACCATCCCAGGGCTGGAGAGAGGTGAACATCTCTCTACATTAAGCTCTGTTATTTGGATTCTGGGAAAGCAGCCAAACTGATAGCCCATCTGATGCACATCCCACCCACCACTCTCCTGTCATCCCATTTTATTTCCAGCCTGCTATTGAATATGATGTGACATTACTTGTTTATCTATTTGTCCACTAGTTCAAGACCCCGTTCCCCAACCTCATCAGCACCAAGAATGGAAGGTTCCAGGACAGGAAGCTTGCTCGTCTTGTTTACGGCTTAAAAAATATTCATCATATCAATCAATTATAATAAACTGCTATACAAGCTCTGCTTCTCCTCTGTCCATGTTCCTGATTCCCTGACCTCACCTCTGTGCCCCTTGTCCCCAGCCCTGTAGACACACACGCACACCCTCACCATTGATTTCCTGGATCTCTAGGTCAGGTGAGGCCATGTAATACTTGTCACACAGGAGCTTAGCCATGTCGTAGGCATCTGAGAAAAGAAAGGGGCCATTCAGGGTCTGGTGCACAGTCCACTCAGCAGGCAATCCTCTTGGGGGTACCACTGAATATCACCAACATTAACCCTGTAGGGCCCTGGACCCACCCACTGACTCCCCATGGGCAGGAATGGTGGGGATGACTCACCTTTGACCACATCAGAGACATGGCAGTTAGGGTCAATGCTGCCAATATGCTTGGGATGGGCTGGATTGGTGCTGCCATCAAAGATCAGGGCTGGGATACAAAGAAAAGACGCTGTTGGCAGGGCTATTCCTCTTCCCCAGTGCCCTCAGCCCTCTGCCTTGATTTCTAGGCATGGGTGGGCTTGGACCCTACAGATGCACACCGCCTTCATTATCTAGGTCCTGCCCCCTCCACCACCACTTAGGCCAGTTTTAGACCTCTGAAGGTCTTACACTTTCTTCTTCCCAGAAGCCTCTCCTCTGATCACAGCTCACATTCAAACGCACCTAGATCTCACAAGAAATTTCTTTTGCTACCAACATTTAAAAATCATTTCTTCCATCCTGCTTTTGAAATGATGTAAGCAGGACAAACGTGTTTGACTCGAGATTGGCTATGCTTTCTCAGCAATCACAGTAAACATTGAAATACACAACAAACTGCTTTGGAATATAATGAGTTTCTATGAATTTCACACTTTCTAAAAACATGACAATTTTACAAACAGCTGAATATCGATTCATTTCAAAGTTATGGCTTCCTTTTTCTATTTTGGAGCCAGTGCCTCTGTGGTCAGGTGAACAGCCCCAGGCTCCTGAGTGGTCCCCATGGCCACCCTGCGGCCCCACCCCCGCTCTCACTGTGCTGGTTGATGAGCATGCGGATGGAGATGCGGCTGAGGTAGAAGCGGTCCAGGAAGTATTGGATGTTCTGGTTGGAGACGGGGTCATCGCCATAGGCGTCCTTGTACTCAAGCACGCCCTGGGCCATAGTGGGCACGACATCATTGTGCCGGTTCCGGATGGTGACCAGGGCCTCGGTGAACCTGTGTGGGAGGGGAGATGTCCAGTCCCACCTCCGACTCCCTCCACTCATCATCTCTCAGTTGTGTCTTCACCTACTGGATCTGCTATAACACTCTCTCCCCTTTTCCCAGAATCCCACCCGGAGTTTCCAGATACCTGCCTGCTAGACTCCTTGCTCCAAGCCTAGAACTCTCAGTTCCTTGGAATGGGGCTCTCTAATGACCAGCCCTGCCTCCCCCTCAGACAAGGCCTCTTGAAGAATGGAACCTGTGTCTCTCCCATCAAACTTGGGCTCCCTAAAGCAGAGTCTATCTCCCATCTCAGCCTGGGGTCTCCCTCAGGGCAGGGGTCTTTTCTCCACCCTGCTGGCTTTTTTTTTTTTTTTGCCTCAAATCCCTTCCCATGGGGCTGTGACTTCTAGATGTCATTTGATTTCACCTGCCCTCTTCCCCAGCCTCACTCACTGGTTCAGGGTGTGGTGGTCCTCAGGGTCCTTGTCCAGGAACTCCATGATGTCCAGGAGACTCTGGACATACCTGTGGGTGGGCACGAGAGGGGACATTGCCTCTTTGCTGGGCTGGGACAGGCCCCCCTTCTCACCCCACTCAGCCACACCTCACTCTTGCGCGTCTGGTTAGCAGCACACAGCTGCGTGGGTTAACAAGCTGTGTCCATTTTTCTTAGTTCATTCCATTTGTAGATGAGTCTGACAGGAGATTATGTAATTTACTGACCTCCCTCCCTTATGGTGTCTTTGATTTTGTAGTCCTAGAATGCCAGTGGATTCCATGGGTGGTAGAGTGAACAGGGTTAGCTGCTAACCACAATGTTGGTGTCTCGAGTTCACCCAGAGTTATCTTGGAAGAAACGCCTGACAACCTACTTCCAAAACCAGTCACTGAAAATGCTTTGGAGCACAGCTTTCCTCCGACACACGTGAGATTGAACTGGTTTTATGGCCCCTAGGGTACGAGGAGTGCTGGTGCAGCGCTGTGGGCTAATGAGTTGGACTGCAAAGGCAGTTTGAACTGCAAGGTTGGTGGTTCAAGCTCACCAGTTGCTCCTTGGAAACCCTATTCAAGGGTCACTCTGGGTCAGAACTGACTCGATGGCACTTAACAACAAGTAGATAAGAGAAGTCCTGGTGTGGCACTGTAGAATAATAAGCATTGGACCGCAAGGTCAATTTGAACTGCAAGGTCGGCAGTTCAAACTCACCAGTCGCTCCTTAGAAACCCTATGCAGGGTCACTATGAGTCGGAAATGACTCATTAGCATTTAACAAGTAAGTAAGTAAGAGGGAAGGAAGACAGCCCCATTTTAGTCTCTTTTCCAATGAGGCCTGAAGGAGTCCCACAGTAGCTAAGTGGTGTAACGAAGACTCAGAAACATCTAGTGCTCGTCACTACTGGATGCTGCAACTAATCAAGAGTGTTGCCTCTATGCCTCTGCTCTTCCCTGTCTCGCTTTAGCCAGTAACGGGGGAAAGGTCTAGCCTTGGAGGTGGCTCCACCCAAGTCCATTTCTGTTTCATCCTCTTCTAGCTGGGTGGCCCTGGAGAAGTGGTGGAACCTCTCTGGGCCCGAGTTTTCACATCAGGAGAATGAGTTTCAGGCTTTTTGTTTTTTAAATATTTCTTTTTGGTGAAAATAGGCACCCATTCAATCATTTCTACCGGTGCAGTGCAGCGACACTGTGATATTCCTAACTGCTTCGCCAGTCTCATGCTCTCTCCCCAGAATGTCTCGTCACCACTGCCCCTTACACTGCTCATCTATGCTTTTCAGTTACTGTTGACAACTTAACCGGAAGTGGCTAGCTCTTTAGAACAGCTCAGTGCTCATGAGGAACACACTTGACTAGTCCAGCTAAACTGTTGTTTACTTTGAAGATTACTTCAGGGGATAGTTTCTGATCAAGTTTCATGAATTCTCTCAGGATTACAGACTCCAGGACTTCTCCAACCTCCATGGGTCCAGTAAGTTTGGATGCTGTAAGAAGTTGAAAATTCTGTTCCACATCTCCTCTACTTTTGCTATGGACTCATCTAGTGAGTCCTTGATCAAAATGTTCAGTAATGGTAGTTGGGCTTCCTCCACTTCTAGTCTCAGGCAGAGGAGGCAACCAGACCTGGAGTCTAGGCTCTTCTCAGATTCCTAAAACCCCTTCTTCCCAACAATTGGTGGAGCGAGAACAACTGTTGCATCTTGGATGGCCACTTGCAAGCTTTTAAGACCTCCCAGGTACCACTCACTGAACTGTGGGTAGAACAGAAACTCTAAAAACACTGTCAGAACAATTGGCTGAACAGTCCCACGAAGTCATAACCCTGAGCCTTTGAACCAAGAGAACTAATCTCCTGAGGAGTCTGGTTGTACCTACGTAGTTTCAGCAATAGTATCCTCCTTGGTTTTTTGGCTGCTGCTTTTTGGGGAGAATGAAATGATGGGTTAGCACAGTGCCCATCACATAGTGAATGTTCTACATGGTGGCTCCCACGTCGCTGACAGCTGAGTGCATCCTGAGTCCCCAGGCAGTACACTCCTCACTGCTGGTACTGGGAGTCGCCTCTGAATCACACCCTGCTTGAGTCTTTCATGCCCCGGAGAGCTGTGCCCTGAATCATGAATGTCAGGAATAGGGCTTGTCTGTCAGTGCCAGGAGAGACGAGTCACCCTTCCCTTCCTTCTCAGGGCCCAGCACAGTCCCTGACCCTTAGGTGACATGGCAGGGGCAGCATAAGAGATCAGCTTCCTCCTCAGATGACCTGTGTCTCAACCTCCCTGGAGAATAAGAACAGCCAGGACATAACAAGTGATCATTAAAACCCACCTGTGTTCAGAATCCTACGAAGGTTCTCACACTTCCCAACAGCCTTGGTAAGCATATAATGTGGCTGTGTGCTGTGGAGTTGGTTCTGACTCATAGTGACCCTGTATAGGGTTTCCGAGGCTGTAAATCTTTATGGGAGCAAAAAGCCTCATCTTTCTCCCACGAACAGCTGGTAATTTCAAACTGCTGACCTTGTGGTTCGCAGCCTGATTCGCAACTACGCTACCAGAGCTCCTTAAGCATATAATAGTCCCTTTTTTTTTTTTTTTACAGATAAGGAACTGGGTCAGAAGTCAGCTGATATGCCCAAGGTCACACAATAAGGAGCAGTTCTGGGATTCAAACCTAGGTCTGACTCCGAGTCTCCACCACATGGCTCGATGTCTATACTGGTCCTAAAGATGATGGTGCTGCTGACGTCACTAGTGATGGATGTCGGCACTGACAGGGACTGATTCTAGGCCAGGGCTCTGCTGTCACCTGTGCCCTGCACTTTAATCTCTACAAGACCTCTACTGGTGGCAAGTACTGTTAGGCCCATTTTACAGATTGGAACACTGATATGCAAAATTGGGATTCTCTATTCCAGACCTGTGTGACTCCAAATCCTTAATTCTCTACAATACCCGGATACACTTCATGCTGAAATGCTTCTTGGAGGGAGAAAAAACTGGGGAAGAAAACCTGCAAGGGGGGCGGGAGTCGGGGTGTGTGACAAGTAGAGAAAAGAAGAGGAGACAGAATGGAGAGTAGGAGCCCTGGGACCGAGGGAGGAGGTCGGTCCTATGAAGCTGGTTGTGGTTGGTCAGACCCAGGGGCAGGCAGTGCCCCAGCTGCCAGCACCACCCCTGCATGGCTGCCCAATGAACTCTAGAGGGCAGAAATGAGGCCTGGTCACAAGGCACAGAAGTGAATCCAAGGTCGCCAGGATGGGTCAACAGTAGGCAGTCTGCCAACATAGGTCTCAGACTGGTTTCCTGTCTGTGAAGCAGGGTGGGACAAGATGACCTGTCCCCACCCTGAAGCCTGTAGGAACCTGGATACCAGTTCTTGCCCTGGGAGCAGATTTTGGTCCTAAAAGGAGAGACATGAGAACTGGGAACTAGGACTGGCTCTCACCCCTCCCAGGGCAAGACAGGGGACTGGGCTCTTCTTAGGGAGACCTGGAGGTCCATCTACTTCAGCCAGGCTGAGCAGCCAGTGGGGCCTATACCAGGCTCTATGGGGGGCCTGGGATCCCCAGATCTGCTGTGAGCTCAGCAGTGAAAAAGGTCACCAACATTCCCTTGCTAAGATCTGGAGTTTCCTACCCCAGCCCATGTGGAAGCCCACCCAGACCCTGCTTTCTGGGGCTCTCCTGCCTGACAGGTCCTGTTCCGGGGAGGCAGAGGGAGTATAAGCAGAGTGTGAGTGCTGGGAGGGAGAGTAGACACAGGTGTGCGGCTGAGTGAGTGGGGGAGTGTATGTGTCTGAGCATGCCCAGGTCTGCAGCCACTGTGAGGAAGGCTGTGAACCAGTGGACAGCTGCAGAAGGGGGAAGCTCGGAGCACTGGAGGGAGAGGTGACAGCTGTGGCCAGGGTGGGTGGTGGGCAGTGTGCCGGCGCTGAACTGGGAAGATACGGATTCTGAGACTGACTCTGCCCTGAAGAGGTCACTGAGAGGCTCTATCTAGGTGCCCATCTGAACAGTGGGGTAACCATGTCACGGAGCTGTAGTAGAGGCCATATTTCGGCAATTATGGAAGAGGTTGAGGAAGCCATGAGATGGGGAACCTAAAGCCCCAGCCCGTGTCTGGCACGGAACAAGCACTGTGCCAGCCTTGCTCCTCAAGGGTAAGGATGGGTTCTGAGGTATGGGGGTGGGGTTCCCACAGGCTGAGTTTGGATTCCACACACCCGACAGGCAGCAAGGGAGGTTCATGAGAAGGTGGCGTCTCTAATCCCCTCCTCTAGAGTCCCACAAGCCTCTATTAATGACAGGAGTGACTCATAGTCATTTGATTTTACTCTGCAGCTCTCACTTAACCCTCTGTTTTCTGGAAGTAAATCTTCACTGGTCCCATGGGTTTCCTCATGGGTTCCTCAGGCGGGCTTTCCCTCCTTTAGAGTCATGACCAGACGTTCCAGCTGTCACACTGGATCTGTACAGGGAAGCCTGCTCCCCCATTGATTTGCACTGTGACCTCAGAGACAAGTCATCACACAGAGGACCTGCTGGGAGCACCTGTTGGGTGACTTTTCTCTGTGCTACAGATGTGGGACACTCCTCTCCCATCTTAGCTCCCGGGGGAAGCCTGACTCCACATCACTGCCCCAGAACACAGACCTCTTCCTTTCTCTCTAAGGATGCAGTCTCCAACTCAGACTAACCTGGGTTCAAATCCCAGCTCCACCACTTTCTAAACCACTTCCTATGGAATCGATTCAACTCATGGTGACTCAATGTATGTCAGAGAACTGTGCTCCATAGAGTTTTCAATGGCTGATTTGGGGGGGCAGGCCTTTCTTCTGAGGTGCTTCTGGGTAAACTCAAGCTTTCAACCTTTTGGTTAGCAGACAACATCTGAGTGATTTTATAGAGACAAGTTACTTAATTTCTCTGGACTTCATTGTCCTCATCTCTAAAGCAGAGACACTACCAAGGTCTACTTCCTAAGTGTGTTAAAACGTATGCACACTTAGGCCACTTCCTGACACAGGAGGACCTCAAGGGGCGTCTGTTGCTGTACCATCATCATCATCATTACTATGTTGCCCAAAAGAATCTCCATGACAACCCAATGACATCATCCTTGGCCTGGGGGTGCTGCTGCCAGAAGCCTGGGGGCACGACTTGTGTGTACAGAGTTCCACACACCTGCACATCAGCAGTTGCATTTGACCTGTAGAAACAAAACTGGTCCCCATTTTACCGATGAGGAATCTGAGGCTCAGAGAGGTTGTATGTCTTGCAAAAGGTCAACACATTCTGCTGTTAATTAAAAGGTGAGAAGATCAAGTCCATCTGGCAGCATCTCAGAAGAACTCAGTCACTGAAAATCTTATGGTACCCAGTTCCACTCTGACACCCATGGGGGTGGCCAGGAATTGGAGTCGACCAAATGGCAACTAGTCGTAAGCCTTTCAAAACCAAGTATCCTTTCCACCACCTTCTAGTCAAACCCAATACCAAGGCCTACTCTACCAAATCTGTCCAGGTGAAATACCTGTGTCTTTAGAACTAGGGATTCTCACCTGGCCTCTAGTGACTCTGGTCCAGAACCTTTTCCCAGCTGGATGGAAACCCCATCAACGATTACACATGTCAACTATCACCACAGCTACCAGCAGCATCTGTATGGGACTTGTCTCTTTTCCAAGAGTAGGTTTTGTTTTTTACTCCTTAGACTCTGAGCGAGGGGCCCTCTTGCCAGGCCTGCTGGTGAGTTACCCCTGCCTCTTGTACAGACCATGCCCAGGTCCACTTCCTCCGACATCTCAGCTGACAGGGATTTCTCCTGGAGACCACCCTGTGCCTGTCAGAACGTCCTTCCTGCCCTCAAACCTCAGTCTCTCTGGCTGCAGCCAATGCCCATTCTTTCTGGAAGGTCTCAGTGGGGTGTCTCTTCAGTGTGTCAGAAGACTCATTATTTAATAGTCTTTGGCCTGCTCCCCTGAGAGCTGAATCATCCCCTGGGGAAGTATTCTCTCTTGTCTAACTTCACTCCCTCCTGCTGTTGCTTGACATTGTTTCCAAGCTTTGAGGGAGGAATAAGTCAGGGTAAGACCCATGTGTGTAACTGATTTCTAGGAAAGGACTCTGCAGAGGTCCTGGGGGGTCACGGGCAGCCAGCAGATCTCCCAGGAACACAGTGTCCAGGGAGGAGCCTGAAAAACCCTGTTCTGGGCTCAGGGATCAGCCAGAGAGGCGGCCAGGTCAGTCAGCCGCACAAAGCTGGAAGAGGGCTGGAGAGAACAGATGGTACCTTCTCTCTCCTGTCCACAGCTCCCACACTGCCCTATGGTGGGAGCTATTGGCTGTATCAGAGGTCCCAGAACTCCAAGGAGCACGGCCCAGCGAGTGGTGACCTGTTTGGGCTTCATGAGAACGAGGCTCAGCCCTCTGTTCCCTTGCCCTGCCTTCACTGCATGTTCTAATAAGCACTATCTCTGCACAGTATGCTCTTGGACCCTCTAGCAGGCCCTTTCCTGCCTACACACCTGTGCATACGATGTTCCTTTCGTCTGGAATGTCTTTCCTTTCCTCTCGGCCTGTGGCCCACACAAGGCCCTGTAAGACCCAGTGAAAAGTCACCACCACTGTGTGTGCATGCCAACCCCCCATTACTTCTGATTCAACAAACCTTCACTCTGCACCTGGCATGAGCCTGACCTTGTGTGTGAAATATGCTACTTTATATCCCATTTAATGCGAAGAAATCATTCAGATGCATACTCAGGCATAGAGAAAATACTGGAAGGGCACCAATCAAATCTTAAGAAACCTTACTAGGGAGGGTTTGGTTATAGGGTGAAGGGTGGTGGCTGGCATTTTCTTCTATCTATCTCTGTGTTTTCCAAATGTCCCAGTGAACATGTTCATACTTCCACAATGAAAAAACAACCCCAGTTAATGTTCTCTTTAGATAAGATTTTAATTCTTAGTTTAAATAAAATGGAACCTTCAGTAGCCCGCTGCTCCTACCACTGTCTCTGCGGCACTTTGCTCCCCAGCTGTGGCGAGAGTTTTCCTCATTCTGAAAGACTATGGGCTTCCCGAGGGCAGTTGCTGCTGTTTGCTTAGATCTAATATAGCGCTGGGCTCACAGTCAGTCTGAATACACAGTCCTGAATCCAAAACGAAACCACAGACACAGCGCACAGCTAGTCTAGAAGACCTAACACAAGATTTCTGCCTGGTGCCACTCAAGTCCAATGAGTATGTTTCCATCCCTAGTGATGGATCAAACCTTTACAGATTCTTCATGTGACGGGCCATTGACTAATGCCATTCTGTTACTTAACTCTGGACACAGTTCTTCAGCGAACTCTACTGAGGGTTTTTTCTGCTACTGCTGTGACATGCAATAAACTTTGCTCTTTGTCCTCCAAAGCTTGTCGGGGTGGGTTCTACACCATCTCTGTGTCTAATTGAATGCTTTCCAACATTGAAAACAGCCTGATTTATAGCCTGGATTATGTAATTTGTTCATTGGATACATCTTCTTGTTTCTCTGTTTCCCAAAAAGTTTAAACCTTGATAAATATTACCCAACAGAGGCAGAACCTAATACCAGCAGATGGATTTTCAGGACCAGGGCTGGTGGCTAAGGCTCACATGAATCTGATCTGGGAATTTAGCTGTGAAAACTATGACTTCCCATGATTTGGTAAAACTATGGTTTCCCAGAGCGATAGATCCTGGGTTTCTAGAGAAAGGACGGTAGATATAAGGCAGACACTGGAGAACTAGAGCTTGATCTCAGTCCCTGCTCTGATGGAGGATTCTCATGTGACACTGGGCAATTCCCTGACCTCTCTGAAGCCCGTGCCTCTACCGCCCAAGGCTGCTGGGAGCATGGAGCCTCCATCCCTGAGCTCAAGGACAGCTGGTGATGGAGTGAAGGATATAAGGGCCTGGCTAGGGGGCTCACCAGCTCTGGACCAGCTGCACTGAGGGTGTGCTTAGCACCCGGTCGGGAAGCAGGTTGATCTCCTTCATGATGTTAGCCAGGCGTACAGGCAGTTCCTGTCTGAGGAAGGTGAACGAGGTTTTCTCACAGGCATTGCTGGACCCTGGGAGAGGAGAGAGGAGTGAGTCCAAGATCGCAACCCCATCTCAAGGGGCAGGTCAGCCAAGCTCCTCCAGAGAGGAAGTAACCTGCCCAAGGGCATGCAGCAGGGCAGGTCTCCTCCTAGCGTGGCCCCACCCTCCAGGGGCTGCATGGACTCCCCAGTTCCAGGTGAACCTTTAATCCTGGAGAAACAGGGCCTTCCTTCCCTGGACCCCCTTGGAGCAGCCTCTGGCGTAAGTCACCTCACTTTTCTCTTTCCTTCCCTCCCAATAGATCCAAGTGGGAAATCTATCCCCACCCAGGTGGGAAATCTATCCACTGCAGCTCTGGGTGCCCGTGTGGTTTCTGGGCCAGGCCATCCTCACCCAGGCTGGTCCTGAGGCCCACTGCAGAGTTAGTTGCCCCCTGTAGTAATGCCCACCTGCAAAGCAAACAGGGCCCAAAGATGGAGCCCAAGACCTTGATCCAGCTTCAAGAAGCTGAGACTATAAAAGACAGAATAAGGTATGGAGTCAGGAGACCTGGGTTCTATTTCCAGGCTCTTCTTCCATCTCTGTCACTCGGTCTTTCACCATCTTTCTGTAGGTCTCAGTTTCTCCCACCACATTAAGAACGGGCTGAAGTCTACTGTGAGCCCTCCCAGCTACGATTTTTCTGATTGGGACCCAGTCATAGTGGGCCCAGGAGGCTTGTCCATATGGAGAAAGTGCAGGACTCAAACAGGCCAGGAGCTGGGCGAGCAAGTCCTGGTCAACAGGTGCCCTTGTGTTCTTGCTGCAACCTCCCGGCCCCCTCCTGCCAGTGACGTAGCTGTAACCTGAGAAAGGCACTATCTCTTCAACTCTTCAGAGACCTGGGCCAGAAAGACCCAGAACTCACTGCTGAGTCCTGTTTTGACTCATAGCACCTCCTGCCCAGTAGGGTTTCCAAGGGAATAACCTTTGTAAATCTTTCTGAAATTATATTGCCACATCTGTCTCCCAAGAAGTGTTTGGCGGGTTAAGTTAGTAGCCAACTGCTTTAACACTGCACTACCTGGGTTCCTTCAGAAACCTGGGTACCTCCTCCCAACCTCCAGCTGGCACCATGGAAATACTGTGTAGACAGTGCCCACACAATGCCTGCTTCAATTGATACATTGGCACAGCCTTGCTCCTGCCCCAGAGCCACCCCCAGTCACCGGAGTGGGCAATCCTGGCCCTGGAGCCCAGGAACAGCCAGGGATGGGTACAAGTGCCTGACGTCACCTCCTGGTGCCTAGGCCCCTGCTGAGCCAGGGACAGGGTGCCAGGCTGGGGCATATTTGATCTTCAAGTGTCCTTGCCCACTGGGACAGTCTGGGGGTGGGGGTGGGGGGCAGCTCCTTCAGTGGGTGGAGGCATGTTATTGGTCAGGGCACCTCTTTGGTTGGCATCTTCTTCTGAGAGTCCCCTTCCTCAGATACCCCTGGGTTTTTTCTCTCAGATGGGAGTGTCTAATCCTTCACGCCCAACCCAGGTCTCCTCCTTCCATATGGCTACACCTCCCCAACTCTGCCTGTTACTTCTACCAGAACCTCTCATTTCTTCTCAATTCTCCATTCTTGAAATTGTCATAATGTCTCATTAACCTTTAATGCCAGAACATCACCCTACTTCCTTCCTGAAGCCCTAGTTGCCCGCCCCACTATCCTGACTCCCAAAGACTCTTCACAAAGCCCAGAAAGAAACCTTAAACCCCTCCTTTTCAGTGCTCCCCACATTAGTAGTTCAACCCAGAGTCTCTCTTCTGTCGGGTGCCCTTAACCCTTTCAGGCTCCGGCCTTTCCCAGTCTCTCTGTTAACCTTTTCCTGCCCATACTTATCCTGACAGCCCTTCCCCTAGCTCAGGGCCTCTCCTCTCCTCCCCGTTAATCTTCATGTCGGGCTCCTCTATTCATCCCGAACCATCCCCCGGCGGACCCCCTCGGTGCCCTGCTGACAGCTGCCTCCCGCCTTCTCCGTACCGAAGTCCAGAAACTGCTTCATGGACAGCGGAGACGGGGAGAACTTGCTGAAGTGCTCGATGTACTTGGGCGCCCCTGCCAGGGTGGCATTCTTCAGCAGCGCCCAGAAACAGCGCATGGCGGCGGCGCCGTGGCGGCTCGGGCTTGGGTTCCGTTCTGCACGCGCAGTGCTAGTGCTCCTCTCGGCCCAGCCTGGTCCAGCCCAACTCTGCTACGCGGTTCCGATGCCAGCTTCTCCAGCCCGGCCCCGGCAGAGGCCTCCGAGTCCCACAGCCAATCGACAGGTCGCGGCGGCTTGACGTCGCCAATGGCCGTGCACAAACAACTGCAGGAGAACCAATAACCTTTCGCTCCGGCACGTGGCTTCCCTCTAGGTCCGCCTCCTTAACCCTGTCGTAGCCGGGGCGGCCTGTTGTTTTCCTTGGGCTGTGGGACCAGCCCGCAAGGGATACATTAACTCCTTCCTTTCCTTTATTGAGGTCCAGCTGGGGTTAACCTCTGTCTCACTGGAGGTCCTTTGATAATTTTACTTCCTTTATCCTTCCTTCCTTTCTCTTGCTCCCTCCTTAAGTCTCCACCACGAGCAAACTCATTTTAATCCTCTCCTTCCCTGAATTGCCTGGGTAGTTTCAATTGAACTCTTTCTCCCCAAAAGTACCAATTTCACCTGCCCTGATCTCGATCTACTTTCCCCGAGCAGGTTTTGTGGGTCCTCAGTCACTGCCCAACTTTCAGCAACCAGTCTTTTTGGGCAATTGCAATGACAGTGAGTCAGACCGAATATTTGCAACATTCGGAACTAGGACTCAATCCGTCATAAAGACATAAAGATCTAAGTGGCTCAGGAACAAGTGGCATTTTGCTTTTCCATTTGAAAAACACCAAGTCAGAGCCCTAACTCGCCGTGGTGGAGGCAGTCGTTAACATCTATGGTATTTGTGTAGCTTTCAAAATATTTTCATTGTCATCATTATCTAACACATTTGATTAAACAGGAATCCTTCGACATACAGCTGAGAAAGCAACCTTCTGCGCACTGGAATTCCTGAGAGAGAGGTCCTAGGAGGTGATTTGTGCTGGGGGCGCCCGGGAGCCCAAGCTGATTCCGGCCTCCCAATGTTTTCCTTTCCAAGCAGTCCCGCCTCTCTCTAAAAAAAAAAAAAAATTTACAGCGCCCTCATGTGGTCCAATGTGATATATCCTGTAAGGTGCCAAGGGGAAGGAGCCTGGTGGCTCAGCAATTAAGAACGCGGCTAGGAACTGAAAGGTCAGAGGTTAGCAACCCCCCAACCTCTCCGGGGAAGCAATATGTGGCAGTCTGTAAAGACTTACAACCTTGGAGACTTCTAGTCTGTCATAGAGGGTCACTGTGAATCTGTAGTGGGTCAGATTTGGGTTTGGTCAAGGGACCAACAATTTGATGCAGTTATTACACATGTTCAGTTTTGAGTCATACTTAGGGAATCCTGGTGTGGTGCTGTAGGATAAGCACTGGACTGCCAACCACAAAGTCTGTGGTTCAAACCCACCAGCCACTCCTTGGAAACTCTACACAGGATCTCTATGAGTCAGAACTGACTCAATGGTATTTAACAACAACAACCAAATGCCAATGACTGGAGGTTTGAGTCCACCTAAAAATCCTCACCACTGGACCAATAAACAACATTCTTATCAATGGAGAAAAGACTGAAGTTGTCAAGGACTTCATTCTTCTTGGATCAACTATCAACACTCGTGGAAGCAGCAGTCAAGAAATCAAATGACGCATTGCATTAGGCAAATCTGCTGCACAAGACCTTTTTAAAGTGTTGAAGAGCAAAGATGTCAGCTTGAGGACTAAGATACCCCTGACCCAAGCCATGGTATTTTCAATCATCTAACATGCATGCGAAAGCTGGACAGTGAATAAGGAAGACCATAGAAGAATTGTTGCTTTTGAGTTATGGTGTTGGAGGAGAATACTGAAAGTGCCATGGGCTGCCAAAAGAACCAATAGTTCTGTTTTGGAAGAAGTGCAACCAGAGTGCTTCTTGGAGGCCAAGAGGGCCAAATTTCGTCTCTCATACTTCAGACATATTGTCAGGAGGGACCAGTCACTGGAGAACGATAGCATGTTTGGTAAGGTGGAGGGTCAGAGAAAAAGAGGACGACCCCTAGAGAGATGGATTAGCCAAGTGGCAGCATCAATGGATTCAAGCATGGCAACAATAGTGAGGTTGGCCCATTCCGCTGTGCATAAGGTTGCTATGAGTCGGTACCTAGCAACAACAAGAGGTGCCTCGGAAGAAAAGCTTAGCAAACTACTTCTAAAAACTAAGCATTACAAATCCTATGGAGCACAATTCTATTCTGACATGACTGGGGTCATCATGATTCAAAATGGATCCCAACTGGTTTTTAATGTGTTTTCAGTTTTCCTGGACAACAGGATGAACACACAATCTTTCTCCCTAAGCACTCAGTCTGGGAGCTAGCTGGATAAGTAACTAATCACACAGGAGTGATGAGAGCGAACACAAAACTATGTGCGAAGCTTCACAATAGAAGATAGATACGCTTAGCTGAATGCGGAATAACTTATGTGCTAGGCACTATTTGCATGCAGCAGCATCTGGAAACTGAGGCTCCGGCATCATTCAGAAGCAGCTAAAGAACAAGACTTGTGGAAAAGTTTGACACTTCCTCAAAAAGTGAAGCATATGATCTGGCAATCTGAAGTTGAGATGTGCACCGAAAGAATTGAAAGCAGGCATAGAAGCAAATACTTATAAACCGATGTTCGCTACAGCACTATTCACAAGAGCCAAAAGGTAGAAGCGATCTAAACATCAATCAACAGAAGAAAGGATAATCAAAATGTGGTCCATACCAGCAGTCTTCAAAAAGTTCATGGAAAAATTCCATTCCCTTTTAATTTCATTTTCCATGAATTTTTGGAAACCCCTCCATACACAATGGAAAATTGCTCAGCCATGAAGGGAAATGAAGTCCAGACACATGCTACATGGATGCACCTTGAAAACATTGTCAAGTAAAATAAGCCAGACACAAAAGAACAAATATTGTATGATCCCACTTAGATAAAAAATCTAGTGTAAGCAGAAGTATAGTGACCAAAGTTTATTAGTGGTTTCCAGGGGAGGGAGGAAGTGGGAAGGGAGAGTTATTCCTTGGGGCACCAAGTTTCCATTAAAGGTGATGGAAAAATCTAGAAACACAGTGGTAGTGGTTACACATGATGAAAATAATGTCAATAAATTGTACATGTAAAAAAACGTTGAAACAACAAATGCTTTACTATATGTGTTTTTATGACAATTAAAAAAACAGGACTAAGTTGGACTTCTAGGATCTCTGTGAGGTGTGTTTCTGAATGAATGGATAACCTGGATTCTGGTGAACATACAGAAGGCTCCCCTCACAGGGCTCCAAGTGCTTCGCTGCTCTAGAGAGGGGCTGGTGGCTTTCTGGAAGGAAGTAGAAACGTCACTGTCCATCAACCTGGCAAGGTGCAAATCCTAATACAGAAAATGAAAGTGTGGGTGGGGACAGACAGGGCCGAGCACTGGACCACAGATCCGGTTGGAAGCTGGGCTCTGGGGGAGGGGGATGGAGGGCAGACAGCTGCCACTATGAGACAGGCTGGGGGACACAGACCAGACATCAGGAAGAGCCTGAATAGTCGGTTCCAAATTTGAGTGAAATTCATAGACGGACCTGTGGCGCAACTCAGGACCCGGAAGTCATCGGGAGAGCAGTCGTGGTCCAATGAGGCCAGTGTGGAGAAGACAACCTTCTAAGGGGAAGAACTCCAGAAAGTGGTTTGATTCAAACTATGAGCAACCCACAGACTGGGTGGGGTGCAACTGCAAAACCCAGAGAGAAAGGAGCTGTGGGGAGGGGGTCGTAGGCTTGCTGTGATGGGGGTGGTGCTGTAGGCCCGCAGGCCTGAGGCCTGTGTACACTCAGCGATAGAACTCGGAGAGGAGCATCCGTAAGACCAAGGGCTTCAGAGGCAGAGGAATTCCCAGTCTCTGCTCACCTTTGGAGCTACTCATCAGAGTGCACAGGGGTAGCAATGGGGAAAGAGGTGAGAAAGCACGCTATTATCTGAACTCAGCCTCATCTGAAATCATTTCTCTCTACCCTTAAGCCCAGCCTGCCTCCACCACTGGCCAGGACTTCCTGTTTCCACATCTGGATAGCTAGCTTCTTGACTCTCCCCTTCCCAGGGCTGGCCGCTCTCCTCCTGGAAGCCATTCTTGATTCCATTTCATCAGGTCTCTCTCTCTCATTTTATGTTTGTGTTTCAATGAAAGTGTCTTTGGCTGGTCCTAAGAGAAGAGCTGCTACTCCTCCCCCTCCCTCCCCAAGACCCCCAAACCTGACTTTTCCCCACTGAGGTCAGCTGGGTAATACAACTCTCTATCCAGCCATACAAATCAGACTGGGTCTGGCAAGCCGGGAGGAGGCGGATGCAACAGGTACAAACTGGGAGCTGTTTATTGGTAGTCATGAGAAGCCTATGTACAAAGAAGGCACAAGGGGGGAGGGACTCCCCTGCTACAGTACCGTTGAAGGGAGCTGGGGCTGGGGAATAGACCAGCCAATGGGACAAGGGTCAGGAGAGGTGTTCTGCAACCAGCCTTAACTTCTAGAATGGGGCTCAGGATGCAGCCCCTGGGGGTGGGGGGAGTTGGAATTGGGCTGAGCCAGATCGGCTGTGAAAGGCAAGGACAGCCAATCACACCTCTAGGTCCCCAGCCCATGGCCAGTGAGGGACAGACAGGACTGGCCGATGGGGTAGGGACAGGGCTCCCTCACAGTTCTACATTCACACGTCACTCCCTCTGTGACCTTGTAGGCGTCTCTCCAGAACCTCATGAGGCCGAGATGGTAGTGGTGGGTCAGAAAGGGGAGCTCCTCTGTATTCTTCCAAGGTCTCCCAGGTCCAGGGCTGGTGCACATGCGCCCCAGGGCAGTCCCTGTACCACGTGTTCAGGCTGGCCAGAGGTTTGTCTGTCCTTGTTCCTTCAGACTGCATTCCCTGCCAGTGTAGTCAGTGTCTAAGGAGAGAGGCTTCAGAGGTACATACAAGAAAGCCATTCAGGGCACCTTCTTGTTCTTGGGTCTGAGAATATCTGGTCCAGCAAACACCCCCTTGGACAACCTTAGGCAGGATTTCCAACTCTCTGGTCTGGGTACCAGGGAACTGCTATTGGGGGCCCAGTGGGCTCTCCCTGTCAGTAGTTTCAATCTTGAGAGAAGAATCAATCCAGTGACTATGGCTCAAGATGGATCCAGTGTGAATGGGGGGTGGGGGTGGGAGGAGAAGAGTCACCATATTAGAGGCCTTTCCTCCTGGCTCTGATGGAGGCCTTTTGGCTAGATTTTGGCATAGGCCGAGGCTGAGGGCATGGTATGTCCACACACTGTCCCCAGTGCACAAACACAGTCTGGCGCAGTGGGACCCACGTGTATCTAGGACACAGGGATGCAGTATGCTGGCAGCTGCATGCCCCAGCCCTCCTGCAAGGGGTACCGGGGCCAGCAGCACATGCATGTGTTTGAGGAGGTACATGTGCCTGAGCCTGCTGGTGCCCGCCAAAGGCTTGGCCTCTGTGGACATAACTTATGATAAATAGGAAGAAAGGGGATGTTGTGAGGGGATGGGGCTGGAACCAGGGAAGATGTCAGTAGTATCGGTCCCAAGTCTGCCAGCTGGTCACCCAATGCTTCTTGGTGGGCACAGTGCTCTCTGGAGGTGGATAGCGCTCCTCCTCGCGGATCCGCACCGCATGGTATTTGGGCATGATCTGGTAATAGCGGGTCCGCTTAAAGAAGTCACACTGGAGTTGGGGGGGGGAGAAGAGAAAGAGCATCAGTACCTGCCTTTCAACCCAGCAGGTACACATGCCCAGCTTCTCCCTCTCCTACCTAGAAGTCCTCAAAGACAGGACACCCTGCTCAAACACCCAATCTCCCTGCATCAAAGCAGGAAGGGTTTCCAGACCCCCATCCCAGAGGAAGGAGGAGTTGAGGAAGGCAGAGAGGAGAGGAAGAGGCAGATGGAGATTAAGAGGCAGCTGCAGAGGCTGCTAGGGGAATGGCTAGGAAGGTGAGTGTCTCTCCTGAACGCAAAGCTGGGAGTGAGGTCAGCTTGCTGTCATGATTTAGGCCTAAAAGTACCAGTGCTAGTAAGAAGAACTCAGCAAGTTGCCCCCTTCTCTTGGGGGTGGGAACAGATTATGGAAATTTGCTTTCTGAACCACAGAGATGAGGCCTAGTCTTGGCCTTGTCCTTTTCAATCCCAAAAGGGCAAAGTAGCCACAGGTAAGGTTTCATGGTTTCCTCTTGGGGTCCCAACCACCTAAGGGCTTAGTTGGGGGGCTTTGTGAGAACCAGAACCCCCCAGGCTCTCCCTGGGGCATGGAGGGGGAGGCAGGTGGAAAAGCCTGCTCTTTGGGGTTGTGCTGGAGGCAGGATGAGGGACAGAGTGGCCCATAAAGGAAAGGAGCAGACAGGATAGAATCAAAGCCCCGGCCAGTCATGGGGCTCAGGGAAGAGGGCCCAGAGGCCGCGTTACCCGGGTGGGCTGGGGGTGGGGGGCTGCCCCCCTCAGTAGTCGTCGGTCAACCTCTCCGTCTCTGACGGCTGGCTCTTCATCTCCGCCTTCTGCCTCTTAGCTTCATACAGAGCTCGAGTGCGGGCTCGCTTGAAGAAGCCGCACTGCGGGAGGGGAGCAGGTGGGGAGGGGCTATCAGGGGGGGGGGGTCTCGGGTGTCCCTGCCAGCAGCACTCATAGACTGGGCCATAGGGCTGGGGGGCCTGGATGCCTGGGTCCTGGTCCCAGCTTGGCAGTTTCCCCTTTCCTGTTTGCAGCTCCCCTGTGAGCTCAGGGAGCACCTCTTCTGAGTGAAGTAAGGAATGGGCAAGGTGAGACTGGAAGCAGGCGAGGGAAGAGGGATGGAAGTGAGGAATGGGATGGGGCACCATGGGATGAAGGGAGAGTTGGTGGGGTCTGCTGGCAGGAAGCCCGGGAATGGGATGGGGATGGGTAAGGATGGACACTAACCTTCCATAGCAAGAGGATAATCAGCCCCAGCAGCAGCAGCCCCGCACCCACGGCCACGAGCACCAGCCAGAGCTCGATCTCAGCTGGCAGCTCATCCACCAAGTTAGAGTCAATGTCCACAGAGAACTGGATGGGGAGAGAAGGGACACACAGCCCAGTTTGTTTCTGCCCACTGAATCTCATCCCCACCTCAGGGTCCTGCTGTAAGACTTACTACCAACAGGGGGCGCCCAAGGACTAGAAAAAGTCCTTGCCTGCCCACCGCTCAGCAGTCAGCTTGTCCACCTATGGTGGCTTGCATGTTGCTGTGATGCCGGAAGTGATGCTACCAGTATTTTAAATACCAGCAAAATCACTCAGGGTGGACAGGGTTTCAGTGGAGTTTCGAAACTAAGACAGACTAGGAGAGACTTCTGAATGTTTAGCCACCTTATGAATAGCAGCAGGACATTTAGTGCCGGAAAATGAAACATTATGAATAGCACCAGAATATTGTCAGATATACTGCCAGAAAATGAGCCCCTCAGGTTAGAAGCTACCCCAAATACGATGGGGGAAGAGCTGACCAGAGTGATGCAAATCGAGAAAGCTTCATTTGTTCATGGGGCACAACTCAAAACGAGGAGAAACAGTTGCAAATGTTCATTAAAAATCGGAACATGGAATGTACGAAGATTGTATCTAGGAAAATTGGAAGTTGTCAAAAATGAAATGGAATGCATAAAGATCAATATCCCATGCATTAGTGAGCTGAAATGGACAGGTATTGGCCATTTTGAATCTGACAGTCATATTGTTTAATGTGTCGGGAACAAATTCAAGAGGAATGGTGTAGCATTCATCATTAAAAAGAATACTTTAAGATCTGCACTGGACTATGAACCACAAGGTCAGCAGTTCAAACCCATTGGCTGCTCCTTTGGAAACCCAATACAGAGTCGCTATGAATTGGAACCAACTTGAGGGCACTCAATAACAACAACAATCTTAAAATACAACACCATCTGTGATAGGATAATATCCATACACCTACAAGGAAGATCAGTTAATACTACTATTATTCAAATTTATGCACCAACCATTAAAGTCAGTGATAATGAAATTTAAAATTTCTGCCAACTGCTTCAGTCTAAAATTGATCAAACACACAATCAAGATGTATTGATAATTACTGTATTGGATTGTGAAGATTTGAAACAAAGAGGACAAGTGAGTCGTTGGAAAATATGGTCTTGGTGATAGAAATGATGCTGGAGATCGCATGATAGAATTTTGCAAGACCAATGGCTTATTCATAGCAAATACCTTTTAAAACAACATAAAAGGCAATTATACACATGGATCTCATCATATGGAATAAACAGGAACCAAACTGACTATATCTGTGGAAAGAGATGGTAGAAAAGCTCCATATCATCAGCTAAAACAAAGCCAGAGGCAGACTATGAAACAGATCATCTATTGCTCATATGCAAGTCAGGCTGAAGCTGAAGAAAAATCAAACAAATTCATGAGAGCCAAAATATGACCCTGAACATATTCCATCTGAATTTAGAGATCATCTCAAGAACAGACTTGATGCATTAGACATTAATGACTGAAGACTAGAAGAGCTGTGGGATGACATCAAAAACATCATACAGGAAGAAAGCAAAAGATCCTTAAAAAGACAGGAAAGGAAGAAAAGACCAACATGGAGAGCAGAAGAGAATCTGAAACTTGCTGTCCAGCATAGAGATGCTATAGCAAATGGAAGAAATGAGGAAGCAAAGGAGCTGAACAGAAATGTCAAAGGATACCTCGAGAACACAAAGCCGAGTATTATAATGAACGTACAAAGACCTGGAGTTAGAAAAAGCAAAGTGAAGAACAAATTAAACATTTCAAATTCAACATTTCTCAAGCTGGAATAACTGAAGACAAAATTCAAGCCTCGACTTGCAAAACTGAAGGACTCCACAGGCCGAATGTTGCGTGGTGGCTCTATACGATAAGCACTGGACTGCAAACCACAAGGTCCATGGGTCAAGCCTGCCAGCTGCTCTGCAGGAGAAAGATGAGGCTTTCAGCTCCCGCAGAGATTTAAAAGCCCAGAAACTCTATATAGGGTCATTATGAGTCAGAACCAACTCAAAGGTATACACAGAATCACTATACCAAAAGAAATGGTCAATGTTCAACCATTTCCACAGGTAGCACATGAGCAGGAGGTAAGAAGTCCAAGCAACACTGAAGTTATTGGCAAAAAACAAAGCTCTAGGAAGTGATGGAATACAAATTGAAATCTTTCCACAAACTGGTGCAGCACTGGAGGCGCTCATTCATCTATGCCAAGAAATTTGGAGAGCAGATATCTGGCCAACCGACTGTGCCCATTCCAAAGAGAGGTGACCCAACAGAACGTGGAAATCATCTAACAAGATCATTAATACCACATTCAAGTAAAATTTTGTTGAAGATAATTGAAAAATAGCTGCAACAGTACATCAACAGGGAACTTCCAGAAACTCAAATTGGATTCAGAAGAGAACGTGGAACTAGGGATATCATTGCTGACATCAGATGGACCTTGGCTGAAAGCAGAGAATACCAGAAAGATGTTCACTTGTGCTTTATTGACTATGCAACGACTTTCGACTGTTTGGCTCATGACAAGCTATGGATAACATTGCAAAGAATGTGCTCATGAGGAATCTGTACATAGACCAAGAAGCAGTCGTTTGAACAGAACAAGGGGATACTGAATATTTTAAAATCAGGAAAGGTGTGTGCCAGGGTTGTATTCTTTAACCATACTTATTCAACACTCATGGAAACAGAAGTTAAAAAATCAAATGATATATATTATATTACATTAGGCAAATCTACTGCACAACACCTCTTTAAAATATTCAAGAATAAAGAAGATATCAGTTTGAGGACTAAGGTGCTCCTGACCCACACTATGGTAGTTTTAATAGTCTCATATGCATGTGAAAGCTGGACAATGAATAAGTTTAGACTGTAGAACAATTGATACATTTGAGTCATGGTGTTTGAGAAGAATATTGAAAGTACCATGAACTGCCAGAAGAACAAACCAATCTGTACTGGAAGAAGTATAACCAGAATGTTCCTTAGAAACCAGGATGGCCAGACTCTGTCTCTCATACTCCAGTCTCTGGAGAAGGACATGACGCATGGTAAAGTGAGGACCCAGCGAAAAAGAGGAAGACTCCCAGCAAGATGGATGGCACAGTGGCAGCAGCAATGGGTTCCAGCATAGTAACGGCTGTGAGGATGGCGCAGCACCGGGCAGTATTTTGTTCTGTTGTGCATAGGGTCACTCTGAGTCAGAGCCAATTTGACAGCACCCTATAAGCCCCATGGACACCAGGCAGGTCCATCCTCCTGCTTTTCTTTAGTCACAGACCTGGCTCCAGATCTGGGAAGCAGCTGGAGTGACTTGAGCATCATCAGCTCTACTCCTGAAGACCTGTGTGGTTTTGGATAAGTCATTTCACTTTCTCTGAATCTCCATCTCACGCTCTCTGACAAGGGAATCATAATGTTCAACTCCATGTACAGCAGGGTGGCCAAAGTCTGGGTTCTAGAGCTAGAATGCCTGATTTAAAGTCCCAAGTATGTATTTACTCCCTGTGTGACCTTGGGAAAGTTACCTAATCTCTCTGTTTCTCATCTTTAAAATAGGCATTATGATAAAAATGATAATACTCATCTCAGAGATTGTGGAGAAGATTAAATGTGTTTAATAGGATGAGTAAACTGGTACCCAGCTTATTATTTCATAATAATTACCAACACCCCCCCCCAAAAAAAAAAACAAAAAACAAAACAAAACAAAAGAACACAAGGTACATAGTAGCATCCTTTTTCTTTTTTTTCTCTTCCTGTAGACTCCTGGTGTGGTGCTGTAGGAACAGGACGGGATTGCTAACTGCAAAGGTGGCATTTCAATCCCACCAACTGATCCTCAGAAACCCTACAAGGTTGCTATGGGTCAGAACCAACTTGATAGCACTTAACAACAATGGACATATGTGTATGTTTGTTTGTTTGCTGACTACATGACTTTTTATCGTGAATCGAGTAAAGGTTTACAGAGCAGATCATCAGTTTTACACTCAACAAATCCTATACTTTCCTTCATTAATTACATGATTGCAATCCCCTCCATGAAACAATTGTATATATTTTGGTCCAGTTTCTAGTTGTTTCTGTTGTTGTCAAGTCAATTCTAACTCATAGCGACCCCTGTATAGTGTTTTTGAGGAGTGGCTGGTGGGCTTGAACCAGCAACCTTGTGGTTAGTCCAGTACTTAGCCTACAGCACAATACCAGGACTCCTATATGACCATTTTTTAAAAATTCAAGTGATATAAATAAATAAAATTATAGACTCCCAGTAATTTTGCTAAAAGAAATATTTTGACGGACTGCTTTCCAATAGTTTCCATGCACACACGATCAACACTTTTTCCTTCCACATAACCAGGATCACACTATTCTCACTCTCCACCGCAACCTGCTTCTCTTTTCACTTAAGATCAATATCTTTCCATGCCCATCGATCAGATCAACTTAATTTCTTCTGATGACTGACAGTCACTGTAAGGAAATGTATTATAGTTTATTGAACCAACCTCTTGCTGAAAGACAGTAAGATTATTTCCAATTATTTGCCATTATAAGCAATGCTCTATAATACCTCTGTATATTTATCTTTGCATATTTGACTTATTAACTCCTTAGGAAATATAATCGTGGGCAATATCAAAGGAAATACGCATTTTAAACTTTAACGGATATTGACAAGTTTATTGCTGAAACGAATCCACCAATTTATACCCTAACCAATAGAGTAGAGGGCTGCCCATTGCCTTGCATCTTCTTCAACACCAGACAGAAGTATTGCTGCCGTTTTAATATTCATTTCTGTACTAGTGAACATTTGCATTTTACTCTATGTGTATTATCTGCTTTTGTCCTTTGTCTTTTTTATATATTAAACATATCTACTAAAGTTACTCATAGATGCTGTCAACTTTTAATAAAGCAGTATATCATTTGCCCTTTAGTTCCTTTATAGTATCTTTGCTGTGTACAGATTTAAGATTTTATAGAGATTAATTTCATGTAGGACTTCTGGTGTGGTGCTGGGAGTCAATACACTGGACTACGAGGTCGGTTTGAACTGCAAGGTTGGTGGTTCAAGCTCACCAGCCACTCCTCGGAAACCCTATACAGGGTTGCCATGAGTCAGAACCGACCTCAACAGCACTTAACAGGTTTCATGTAGTCAAATTTTTCCTTTGTCACCTCTGGGTTTACTACAATAGCATTCCCTCTCTGTAATTCCAGATTATTATTAAATTGTGCGCTGGAATATTTTTCTTCTGGAATCTTAAGTTTTATTTCCTTAAACATGTTTTTATTTGTGGTTTGAGGGAGGGAATTGGTGATACTTACAAATGTGTCAATACTATGCAATAAGCCATCTTTTACCAATGATTAAAATGTCTCTTATATCATTAACTAAATTTCTGACTACTTGTAGCTTTTTTTTCCTGGAAGCTTCTCTCTGCTCCACTGATCTTTCTGGCTCAATTTCCTCCACCACTTTCATGAGACAGTAATTTATTGTAGGAAATTTACCATACCACATTTAGCCAGTCTGCCATGCTGTCGAGTGGGTTTTTATAGCAACATAGTGACCCTGTTTCCAAGGAGTGGCTGGTAAGTTTGAACCGCCAACCTTACACCATACCAGAACTCTCTCTCATTCTCTCTCTATATCCACTCAAAATCATTTTCCCAAAAACTTACAAGCAAGATTGTCACATTTATTCTTTGAGGTGTGAATTCACAACCAAGTTTGTTGTTGTTGTTGTTGTTATTAGGTGCCATCGAGTCAGTACTGACTCATAGCAACCCTATGTATAACAGAACAAAACACTGCCCGACCCTAGGCCAACCTCACAACTGTTGCCACGCTTGAGCCCACTGATGCTGCCACTTCGCCAATCCATCTCGCTAGGGGTCTTCCTATTTTTCTCTGGACCCTTACCAAACATGATATCCTTCTCCAGTGACTGGTCCCTCCTAACAATATGTCTGAAGTCTGAGAGACGAAGTTTGGCCATCCTGGTTCCAAGAAACACTCCGGCTGCACTTCTTCCAACACAGATCTGTTGGTTCTTTTGGCAGACCATGGCACTTTCAATATTCTCCTCCAACACCCTAACTCAAATGTATCAATTCTTCTACAGTCTTCCTTATTTACTGTCCAGTTTTCACATGCATATGAGGTTATTGAAAATACCATGGCTTGGGTCAGACGCACCTCAGTCTTCAAGCTGACATCTTTGCTCTTCAACACTTTAAAAAGGTCTTGTGCAGTAGATTTGCCTAATGCAATACGTCATCTGATTTCTTGACTGCTGCTTCCATGAATGTTGATAGTTGATCCAAGAAGAGTGAAGTCCTTGACAACTTTGATCTTTTCTCCATTGATAAGAATGTTGTTTATTGGTCCAGTAGTGAGGAATTTTGTTTTCTTTACATTGAGATGCAATCCATACCGAAGGCTGTGGTCTTTGATCTTCATCAGTAAGTATTTTAAGTCCTCTTTACTTTCAGCAAGCAATGTTGTATCATATGCATATCGCAGGTTGTTAATGAGTCTTCCTCCAATTCTGATACCACATTTTTCTTCATATAACCCAGCTTCTTGAATTATTTGCTCAGCATATAGGTTGAATAAGTATGGTGAAAAAATACAACCTTGTCGCACACCTTTCTTAATTTTAAACCATTCAGTGTTTCCATGTTCTGTTCTAACAACTGCCTCTTGGTCCAGGTACAGATTCCTCATGAGCTCAGTTAAATGTTCAGGAATACTCATACTTCACAATGGTGTCCATAGCTTGTCATGATCCACACAACCAAGTTTAGGAACTTTTTTTTTCAAGTTTTCCCTAATCCCACTTAATGTTGTTGAGTGCTATCACATTGATCCTGACTCACAGTGACCCTGCATACAGTTTCTGAGGAGCAGCTTGTGAATTTGAACCGCTGACCTTGTAGTTTGCAGTCCAGTGTTTATCCTACAATGCCATACTAGGAGTCTCTAATCCCAATAGGACTATAATAATTTGGGAAGATTTGACTTAATAATATTGATTTTTTCCCCATCCATTATTCAAGTCTTTGTTGCACATTTTGTACATTTATTCCTACATAATGTATAACTTTTCTGATGAGTTTAAATGAGATCTCTGTTATATATATAGAGAGAGATATATTTATATTTTTTTCTCATCCCATACCACATCTCTGTGCTATATTTTCGATTGGTTAGTACCAGCATTTTTTAAAGCTAGGGGCTTTGGGTTTTTCTGGTGTTGTTTTAGTCTTGTTTTGTCCTGAATTGTTTTATTGGGTCTAATAGATTTTTGGTTGTGTGTCTTTCTTGCTATGTAGGCAATCAAATCATCTGCAAATAAAGACAACGTTCCTGTGGTGGTGTGGTTATGTGCTGTGGAGTCGGTTCTGACTCATACTGACCCTGTACAGGATTTCCAAATCTGTAAATCTTTACGGGAGCAGACAGCCTCGTCTTTCTCTGGTAGTTTCGAACTGCTGACCCTGCGGTTCACAGCCCGATTTGTAACCACTACACTACCAGAGCCCCTGTCCCTATGGTAGACCCTCTGTTTCACAGCTCTTTTCCTGTTTCTCTCTACTGCTTGTGGCCAGAAGCTCACACGTACACCGTGGACATGGTGATAGGTCAGACCACCAGGTGACCCCAAATTCTGGCCCCTTACAAGCTGTGTCACTTTGGGCAGGTTCCTCAATTTTTCTAGGCCTTAGTTTCCTCAGCCACAAAAGAGTTTTAACAATGGCAGTCCTGCTTTTCATGGTTGTAATTGTTGGTCAGTGCTGTCAAGGTGGTTCTGACTCATTGTGACCCTGTACAGGATTTCTGAGGAGCAGCTGACTTTGTGGTTCAAACCAACATTGCAGTCCAGCATATTCAACACAGTGCCACACCGGGACTCTTCATGGGGTATGGTTCAAGTCAGTGAAAGCAATGGCTCCCAACCTTGGCTTGGCTGCACATTAATATCAGCTCGGGAACTTTTTTTTTTGTTATTTTTGTTAATATTTTATTGAGAATTGGTGAAAGTCTACACAGCAAGCTAGATTTCCACTTGACAAGTCCCACACAAAGTGGAACTTCTAACATTGTGCGTCAACACTCTCGTTATTTGTGTCCCGTTTGTTCCTTTTCCAGTTCTCTAGTCTCCTTGCCCCCTCATCTTCTCATCTTTGCATTTCAGAAATTGTTGACCTTTTGGTCTCATACTGGAGTTTTAAAGCAAGGCCTTTAAGGGGGACTACCTTTATTTTGTGCGCCATTCTACTATTTCACTACAGTGGTCTCAGGAGATAAGATTCAGTTTGGGGTTTAGAGAGTGCCTCAAAGAGTCCTCTGTTCTCTGCTGCTCCAGTTTATCTAGATTTTTTTTGTTGTTTATAATAAGAATTTGAGTTCTCCACATTTTCTTCCCATTCTATCCAGGATATCTATTGGGACCCTGATCAGAATGGTCAGGTGGCAGGCAGCACCATCTAATTCATCTGATCTCAGGATATACACGGTTGTGACCCTGGCAGGCTTGTTTCTTCTCTGACCTTTTGGGTATCTTACTGTTTTGCTTCTGGTGAGTTGAGACTGATAATTATGTCTTAGATGGCTGCTTACGAGCTTTTAAGACCCTGGACACAACTCATGTCCCTAGGATGCAGACTGTGATTTTTGTGAGCTACGTTATGCCAATTGGTTAAATTGCCCCATCAGACTATGGTACTAAGACTTCAAATCCGGAAAACTGGTGTTGGAAGGTGTTTGGCTATGTCTGTGTTTATGTCTTCAGTAAATATATGAGCCTGAACCCACATATGTGTATTTACACATACCTAAACTTCTGGAGTCCTGGCGTGGCGCCCTAGGATAAACACTGGACAGTTAACCACAGGGTTAACCGTTCATACCCACTAACTGCTCCTTAGAAATCCTACACAGGGTTGCTATGAGTTGGAACCAACTTGACGGCCCTTTACAACAACATAGATGTTGCTATCTGTTCTTATCTACACACATCTGTTCCTACCAGTATTCCAATTTGCCTGTATTTGGGGAACTTTTAAACAGACCCTTAGAGATTCATATTTTAATTGGTTTGGGGTATGGTCCAGACCCCAGATGTTCTCCAGATGATTCTAGTGTGCAGCCTAGACTAAATGTGTGATGGTGCCCTGCCCAAAGACTGCTGTCTTTGTTAGCAAGCTCACTCACCCTTATGGTCTTGTTCTCCATGTTGATGGTTTGGACGCTGGTTCGGAGGAATAGGGTAGCCCAGCCAACTACCCTGACTCGGTCAAAGTCTCTGTAATCCTGTGGGGAGGTACAGCAAGTCAAAAGCAGTACCTCAGGACCGCGTTCCTAGCCCTAAGCACCAGGTCACATCCTGAATCAACACCCCAAACATTCTGACAGCCAAGCCTCTTCTCCACACACAAACTCATTATCTCATCTGTTCATTCGCTTATGTGTCAGGTCTTGTGCTGAATGCTGGGACAGCAGAGACAATGAAGGGCCTACTCTAAATTAGGCCTCTGGACCACATCTGGCCCACTACCTGCTTTTATAAACTTTTTTGGCATAAAGCCATGCCAATTCATGTATATATTGTCTGGATGCTTTCGTGTTTTGAGGGTAGTAGGTTGGCCCACAAAACTGAAAACATTTATTATCTGGTCCTTTATAGGCAAAAGTTTGCTGCCCCGGGTCTACCATGGGAAGGCTGTACTTATACTAAATATAACCCAGTGTAAAAGTGCTCAGTGGTATAAGGAACTTCAAAGAAAGTTCTAAAGGGTGTCCAGAGGAAGAGAGGACATTTGCAGTTGGAAAAGTCAGACAAGGTTTCAGTGAGGGTGACGCGTTGGAGGGAGACTGGCATGCAGAGGTAACGGAGGGATGCGGGCACTCCAGGGAGGGATGGCAAGAGCAAAAGCATGGAGGTAGGAAAATAAAAAGCAATTGAGATTTTAACAGACACTTGGCAGAGTAATAGACACATGACAGAAGGAAGGGCACTTTGACTGGAGACACGTGATGGACACATCCACACACAGACACCCGGACGTAACCCTGATATGCACAGTGACAGGAACACAACCGCATAAAGCAAGATGCTTTCACTGTGACACACACACATCCTAGTGGCCCTTGCCTTCTCCACATTGCTCTCCCCAGTGGGTGGGTGGCAGTAGAGGCCCCCAAGTCCAAGCACTGACCTCGATGAATGTACTGTTCCACACCCGAGCCTGCACCGTCACGTTGGTGATGACTGGGGCATCAGGAATGGGGCACTCCAGCCATACACAGCGAGCTTGGCTATTGGCACAGTCCTGAGGTAGGTAGGGACCATGTGGGACATGACAGAGTACGTCTCCAGATTCTTCACCTGACCTCAGACCCCTCCCAAGCTTTGTCCCACTCCAGTTGACCTGAAGAGGCTGACTTCATCCCTTCACTTTTGCATACTCCCTTTCCCTCATATGAACACATTTAAGACATATCCTTAGATTCCAGGGACACAGACAACATGAAATCTGGTCCCTGCTCAGGCAAACATTAAGCTAATTAATCCCCAACACCCTCCTCACCAGCTCCTCCTACATCAAGACTTGCTCATGCCAGCTCCCTACCTGAGATAACACCTCCTACTTCTAACTCCAGCCAGGTCTCAACTTGCCTCCTAGGTATGTTCTTCTTAAGGGATGTTTCGAACCACTCAGTCCTATCCCTGTCCCTCACTTCTTTCCGCCCCTCCCCATACCCCAGCCCTGATGTCTAAGGTTTTGAAGAGCTGCATTATCCCCAATAGGGAAAAGAGCCAGTGTCTTTGCCTTCAGTCCAATGTAACAGACGCTCCCCCAGGTCAAGGGCTGAGTACCCTCGCCCCCATCAGAGTAGGGAGTCCTCTCAGGGCAGGAGTTGGGTCCTCTCCCTCTGAAAGCTATATCACCTCATTTGACTAGGGTCTCTCAGTGAGTTGTCTCTGGCTTTGTGAGCTCCTTGGTGCCCACGCACCCACTGGAGGGACAGACACCACCCTCCTTCCCGTCTGGCCCTGGCCACTCACCAGTTGGGTCTCTGACTTGGCTTTTTTGGCAGCAGCCAGAGTGACAGGCTGGAGATCCTGGCCTCTCCCAGGGTCCAGGTGCCGTCGCTGTCGGCTACGCTGTGATGATGGTGGCTCGTCCCCTGGGAGCTGGTGAGAGAAGAGGAATTAGTGGGCACAGAGGAAGGGAGAGGAGAACAAGGCTGGGGAAGAGCTGGGCACCTAAGGCAGTAGGAGGGGAAGACACTGGCCTTTCAGTCTAGTAGCATGCAAATGAGAGATCCCTGATGGTGTTCTTACAGATAAAGTAAGGTTGAGAGGGTTGATGAGGCCTCCTGGTGGCTGGCAGGGCCAGGACCTGTTGCCGTGGACGTGGATGGTGATTTCCGTGGGGTATAGTAGCCACTTGCCATTGGCGACTTCATAGGGCCACTCCAGTCCCAGGACCAAGGACCCCAGGGATGTCAGCCCCTCCCCCATTGGGCCCACCTGTGGACACAAGCGGCATCGTGAGCACTGTCCCCTGAAAATCCACCTCCATTTCAACAACCCCCAATGTTCCCACTCTTAGACCCCAGATCTAGGCCTGGAAGGGCACTTTCCATTGCCCTCCCAGGAAGCTTCCCATCCCCAGACTGGGACCATCCATTCCTAGGAACCCAAATGTCCCCTTACCTGGAACTCATACTTGAGGGGGCTTCCCACGTCCTCCACAGTTTTCATGCCAGCCTCGCCCATCACTGTCCCCCCAAAGAAGCTGTGTAGCCGGTTACTCACACTAGGGGTAAGAAAGAGGCTGGAGCCATGAACAATGGGAGGCACACGACCCTGGTAGAGGGGGTGGGCATGGTTAACTATAGCTCCTCTGGTATCAGGACTGGGATCAGCCCAGCTCTGCCATGAGCTGTGTCAGCTCAAGCAAGTTCTTTATCCTGTCTGAGCCTCACTATCCACAGTTACAACTTAGGTGAATAATAGTTGCCACATCACATAGGGCCAAGGTACGGAGTCAAGGAGATGATGCATACACAATCCTGAGTTCAAGGAGCTCTCAGAAATGAATGGACTCCTCCAAGGCTTAGCCCCATGGTTGCTGACTCCTCCACTTCTACCTGCTTTACAGGAGGAGTAATAATCATAACTATAGTGGTAGCGTAGTGGTTACGAATCGGGCTGCGAACCTTAAGGTCAGCGGTTCGAAACTACCAGCTGCACCGCGGGAGAAAGATGAGGCTTTCTACTCCCGTAAAGATTTACACCCTCGGAAACCCTGTACAGGGTCGCTATGGGTCGGAACCGACTCGACGGCACTTAACAACAACAACAACATAGTGGTACTGATGCTGATGCTCAGAGAAGGGATGAGCTGGGGTAGGGGAGGCCTGTGAGGAGTGGTGTCAGAGGAGCTTGTGAGACATGGTGGGGACAAAGGAGGCCCCAGCCCGGGCACAGCAGGACTCACATGCTGAGTGAGGCCTGGAGTGTGTAGTCCACCAGAAGAGGCAGGATGACTGCCTGCAGGTTGTCCTGGTGACTGGACCTAGTGAGGGGAAGCCAGGAGGAGACATTTCAGTTGAGGCTAAGGCTTGGGACTGACGGAGGCCTGGGGATGGGACACCTCAGTCCCCACCCAGCCTGGCTTCAGGAGGTCACTCACGTGGAGAGCTGCAGCTGAGCTTGGAGTTCCCTTGTGTGCAGGGTCACCCCGATGACCTCGAAGGCGATAAGCAGTTCCTTCTGGTACGAGGGTCAGGGGAGGTGGAGAGGAGCGTTTGGGACCTGGCAGGGCTCATGCCAGGGTGGGGCAGGGCCAGACACTAGGCTAAGGAGTTGCTTCTCTGGTTTCCTCTTCCTCCCATAATTTAGGACTTGGAGTCTCTGCCTCCCACCTATCTCCACACTTCCACCCTCCTACCTAGTTTTATCTCTGCCTCCCTCACCCTTTCTTTTCTGCATCAGTTCACTTGTCTATTGTTTTTGAATTATGTTTGGGCACATTACTCTTTTTAAAAATAGCATCTACTTCCTGAAAGTAAAAGATCATGACAATTATATCACAGAAAGGAAGCAAAGTGCCAAACTCAGGGCCTGGCACATAGTAGGTGCTCAGCAAGACTTGGTTTCTCACCTCCACCTGCTCCAGCTTTGTGCATAGCTCCCTAGTGACCCCATTTCTCCTCAGAGACTCTGGACTTCATCCCATCCTTTGCCACATCTCCCTGGCCCTACTCCAGCAAGCAGGCAGGCAGAAACGAGGGGGACTGAAAGATCATCAGAGGTTCAGCAGGGGGCCCACAGAGCTGGGAGGTAGAAGGGCTGGGCACCAAGGTTCATGCTCACCTTCTCGTTCCTTTTGAAGGGGTTCCCTAGCTCACAGAGGATGGTGTCGTTGGCGTGACAGGCCCCGGACTGAGAAAGGAAGATGAATAATGCAAAGTCCCGTCAGGGTAGGTCTTGCCCAGGCAGCTCCTCTGGTACAGGGTCATAAACCCTAGAGGCTTGAGAACTGGGATCTCATAACAGCAGAATATTATCTATCACTCAGGGGAGAAGGGAGCCCATCTCTGAGGACAACAAATATAAATGATATGCATGTAAGGATGAAGACATCCTGCTTAAGGAGCTTGGGTTAAGCTCTGGGTGGGCAAGTGGGCACTCACCGGTCGCACTGAGGACAGCAGCAGAGCAGGAGGAACCTCCACCGTGAGTAACGCCTCATGGGCATCTTCCCCTGCCCGAAGACGACTGAGTTCGTTGGTCACGTTGATGCTCAACAAGAGTTTCCGGAGGTCTCTGCCGTACTGGAGCCTAATGGGTTGAGGGGAAGGGAGTCCCAGGGTTAATTAGAATCCCTATCCCGGGTCCTCCCCAAATCAATGAGACTTTGCCCTGGGATCCATTTGGGTTAGAAAGGCCCTTTGAGGCAGCAAAGTCCTGCCGTAAAGTTTCATCTGGAGAAGGAAGTCCCTTTTCTGGCCGGTGAAGGGCAAATTAATACAGCCTATCTAGCCAGCTAAAACTTACCCCTCAGATTGCCCCTTTCAAGGCTCCACTCCTCGTATCTCACCCACCTCCAGGACCTGTAGGGCCCCGCCCCTCAAGCCCTTTTGGCCAATGAAGTCCCACATCTGGATAATCTACGGCCCAGACTCCACCTTTTCAGTTGCTGCATCTGCTCAGTCACAAAGGCGGCCTGCATCTCCAAGTTGCTGTCACATTTGTTATCTGGCCCGCACTCCTTCTGGAACTGGATCTGGGGGCGATCCGAGGCTGAAGGGCCGCACCACTCACAGCGCTCCCTCACCCCACAACTCCTTCCGGCCTCCGTCTTTCCAGCCCTCACCTCCACCCACCTCGGTGTGGTTCTCCAGAACCTGCGCTTTGTTAAGGACAGGGAAGGCATCCAGGGACCGCAGCCCCAGCCGGGGGCGCTCGGGCATCCGCAAGTGTAAAGAGTAGTTCATGGAGATGATGATGGGGCGGAGCTTGTCTCGGACGTTGTCCTGGGGAGGAAAAGTAAGCTGCTGAATCCTCACATCTCTCCGAGCACCCCAGGAGAAGCTAGGAGATGTGGCGCTGTGGGTTAATGCACCAGACTGCAAAGTCGTTTGAACTGCAAGGTCAAGGTCGGGGTGGTTCAGGTTCAAGCTCACCAGCTGCTTCTTGGAAACCCTATACAGAACAGGGTCGCAATAGGTGGGAACTGACTCGATGGCACTTAACAACTCCAAATAACCCGATCTCCTCGGTGAGTTTCTACCACCATCCCACCTTTCCCCCAGATATCTCCCCAGGGATGCTGAGCCTCCCTTCACTCTGGTGTCCATAGATTGAGCTCTTCCCTTCCACCCAGAAGCGCCAGAGACGCTGGGCTTGCTTCCATTCAGGGACCCCTCCCCCAAGAGGTGAAGGGAGAGCCAAGCATTGCCCACTGCCTGATTGCTCAGGTTCTATCTTTACCAAGAGCTGGGTAGATCTATGGCCTTCCAGGATAGCTGCCTACCTCTACCCCTCATCCTTGACCTGGGGACTCTGTCCACCTCCCTGGGGTATGGTGGAGCCCCTCCCTGCCCCCTGCCCTTCCTCACCATCAGGAGTAGATCTAGCGTCTGGCAACGCATCTCAGGCATAAAGAAGAAGCCGTTGAAGATGGCTGACTGACTTCGAGCAAAGCGTAGCCGGGCAGGGCGACGGTCCCGGTCAGCCTCCAGAGTGTAAGACAGGGCTGTGGGTGGACAGAGTGGTCAGCAAGTAGTCAGGTAAGTATGTCCCCACCTCACCCTGCACCCCAGCACTCACTGATGTTTCCTCTGTAGTTAGGGTTCCCAGCACTCTCTTTGTAAGCAAAACACAGCTCCACCTGCACACTACTGGAGGGGTATAGAAGAGTCTGGTCAGGGGGACCCAGATATCCAGGCCCCAGTTCTCAGCCCCCTAGACTAGGCAAGGGGGAAACCTTCAGGGGAAAGGCAGGGTTAAAACTGACTAACTGACTCCTACTACCAGGAGGCCTGGTGTGGCGTTGTGGGTTAATACGCTGGACTGCAATGTCAGTTTGAACTGCAAGGTCAGTGGTTCAAGTTCACCAGCCACTCCTTGGAAACCCTATACAGGGTCACTAGGAGTCAGTAACCACAAGGTCAGTGGTTCAAACCCACCAGCTGCTCCCTCTATGAGTCATAACAACACTATGGTAGTTGTTGTTAAGTGCCATCAAGTCTGTTCTGTAGAATAACAATCCCGTGCTTATTCTACACCGCCACACCAGGAACCCCCTACTACCATTTGCTGTTGTTGTGAAGTGTTGTCATGTTGGTTCCAACTCACAGTGCCCCAGTATAGGGATTCTGAGGAGCGGCTGGTGGGTTTGAATTACTACCACTGTTGTGAAGTGCCTTCAAGTCACTCAGACTCATAGGGACCCTGCATGGGTTTCCAAGGATCAGCTGGTGAATTTGAACCACCGACTTTGTGGTTCAAACCAACCATGCAGTCCAGTGCATTATCCTACAGTGTCACACCAGAGTCATAGAAAACGGGTTAGAGGTCATGATTCCAGCTCCATCATTTCACCAGTGAGGAAACTAAGACCCAGGCAGAAGAAGACTTTTTCCATCAGTCCAATGCTGGACAAGTCCAGTCTTGAACCCAGGCCTTTCGATTCCCAGGCCAGGTTTCTATCCATCACCCTTCCCCTTGCTTCCCTGCGGTTTCCCTTTGCCTTCTGACCTGATGTCTTCATTCACCCAAAGGGGACACACTACCATTAGCATCACCATCTTAGCAACTAACATTTTGTGAGTACTTATGGGGCTCAGGGTGGTGTGCAAAGGGTTTTTGTCCATTATCTCATTTAGTTATCACAAGAACCCTGGGAGTTGGTTATTATTATAATCTCTGTTTTATAGGTGACGAATCTGAGACTCAGAAAGATTAATCATTTGCACAAGGTGGTCCTTCCTCCTTCCCCACATCCATGTATCTCAGTGCTTCCTTCTCCCTCTTCCTCTAGGGCTCACCCCCCAGAGCCCAGGGAGAGATGCCCTGGCAGAGCTGGAATTGAGACCAGGCACCCTCAACCACTGTGCTCAACTGCTCCCCAACCTTCATCCATTCCTTCCTCCCAGGGACTCTGCTTTAGTGAGGGCTGGGAGGGAGAGTGCTGTTTACTCCAAGAATCAAACCCCTAGAGGTGGGATATCAGGAGTTGTCAGGGAGGTGTTTGGGAGCCTGTACAGGCAGGGAAGGGCTGAGAGTCTCACCAGGTGCCTGTGCAGAGGGCAGGGTCCAGCACAGGTGGTCTGGCCACCAAGGTCTTGTGGAGGATATTGATGACGGGCCGGGCTCTGTATAACAGAGAGAAGCCAGTCAGCTCTCAGTGCCTCCTGTCTGCCCCATCCCAGGCCAGAGCTGAGACTCAGATTCCTGTGGATGGACTTGGAGTTGGAGGAAAGAGAAGCCCTTGTCCACCGGCCCCCAGCTCACCTCAGCAGCACGATTTGGTCCGACAGGCTGCCCACCAGCAGGTCTGGGTAGAAGTTCTCATCCACATCCATCCGCCCACTTAGGGAATAGCCAAAGGTGGACAAACCAGGAAGCCCCAACTTCTCTCCATCAATTACCTGGGCACAGGGGACAGTGATGCTGGAAGGTTCTAGGGTGGAGCCTGAGGAGTGAGACCCAAGAGGGAAAGGGGGCACCTGGGGAAGGAAGGCAGACCCACCTCAGTAGGTGGGGACAGCACTCCTATCCCGTCCATACCTGCTGGGGCTGTCTCAGGAGCCCATTGGAACTGCTATGGTAGATGTATACTTTGCCCAAACCCTCGAATGGGGCTCCCACAGCAATGTCTGAGGAAGAGAGGAGGATGGGGTCATGCTGGGCGCACAAGTCCTCAATCCTTTTTTCGAGTCAGAACCCAACATGGCATTGACCATTCCCTGCCAGGTAGTATTCAAAAGCAGCAAGGGAGGAACAGTTTCGTGGCACAAGAGTAAAACTGGGACTCTCTGGAGCCAAACTGCCTTCTTTGATAGGTGGAAAAGAGGTCTAGGAGGAAGTCAGTGACTAACCAAAGTCACACAGCAAGAAAATGTCATAGCCAGGCCTAACTCCCAGATTCTTGAGCACTAGTCTGGCATTTTATCAAAGACCCTTCCATCTTCCCCACCAAGCTCCGTCCAGACTTCCCTGGCTCTCCTAGTGATAAAGTAAAGCTTTGTTTACCAGCAGGGTCAGGAAAGGAGGCATTCCCCACTGTGACTCTGTCTGGTGTTGTAAGTACTCATCTCCTCACAAGAGTGCTGTGGGGTAGGTACAATTGTTTCCACCTTAAAAGATGAGGAAACACTTCATCTTTTAACCCAAAGCCACACAGCTGCTAAGTAGAGAAGAGGCCATGTTTATCTAACACCTGGACCTGGGATTTTAACCACAACACTACAGTGAACTTTGCTTATTAAAGCATCAGACATTTTTGTCTTTTAACCATTATTTCCACAAGTAAGTCCAAGACATTTTAGTCTCTTCTTAAACATTATTGAACTCCCAGTTTGCTTCAAGGGAAAAGTAAAAGGTCCTGAGCAGAAACCAAATGACTCTTCTAAGAATAAGTGCACAGGCCTTCTTCAACCTTCCAACACCTATTTGGGCTCTACAGAGGCTTCTATGCCTTCTTTTCGGTTCTCAGCTGTGTTCTGGGAAATCGAGGTTGTCCGATAAGTGCCGTACAGATAAGCTCCCACAGCAACTCAACTCAACCCCTTGGTCTGTCCCTCTCCTTGACACTCCAGATGTGAATGATCCCCAAGTTCTGTAGAGTCCTGGTATCTGGGCACCTCGGTATGAAGGGCTCCTACCCAGCTCTTATCATCCCATATCTGATATACTATCTTCTTGATCATCTCCATGCCTCCAGCCTTGATCCTTACTTTCTTCTAGAATCATCTTTCAAGGCCTCAAAACCTCTACTGGATCCCCCATCATTACCCAACTATGAAGCCCAGTTCTTTGACAGGTACATTCCATACCTGCTAAATTTGGGCATAGTGGGCAAGTATCCCATGCTCATCTGGTACCTCATAATCCCTCTTTTTATGCAAACTCAACCCAGCCTTCATGCCTTACAACTTATCTACTCCTCCAGTCCTATTCCCTTAGCTGGCCTCTGGTTGCTCCCTCTGCACATCCTCTTTCTAATATGTCTGTGGGCTTCAGAGACCAGGACTCCATCCCATTTCCTCTATGTGGGCCCTATGCTCAGTTAGTAGGCACACTGGCTCATACCCTGGAACCCATCCTGGTTGATGTCACCGATGCTGGCCACGGAATGGCCAAAGGTGGAGTGACTGGGACCATGAAGAAGGAGAGAGGGCTGAGCAGGGAAGGAAGTGCCCGCCTGGTTCATGAAGACATAGATGGCACCCCCTACCTCTTCTTTACGCTCAAAGTAGTGGGGGGCACCCACGAGGAGGTCTTGCCACCTGTACAGGAGAGAAGGAAGAGGGGAATGGAAGTGTGAGATTGGCTTCCAAAATGAAGCATAATTCTCATATTACAGGCCTGACTATGAGGCACGCAGCTGTGCAAATGTCACCTCTGGCCACAGGGCATGAGAAGGACATGGAAATGCCAACTTGACCCACCACATAGAAAACACATGCCACTGAGAAACCATGTAGGCCCAGACCACACCCAAACAGTCCACATCCATTAGAACCATACAAATGCCAGGCAGAAACAAGCAAATGCAGGTGTCATGCAAATGGCATGCAAATACCCAGAACCCTATAAAGTCTGAGTGCACATCAACAAAGTTGATCTGTCAAAGAAGTTGATTTGCCAATCCCTGCAAACAGTCAGTAAACAAATACAGTTACAAACTTCTATTCCCCTGCCCTAGAATGAGCGAGTGCCCCTGAACCTACATCTCTCCCTGGCCCTCGAGGGCCTCCCCAGACTCTCACCCATCATTGTTCAGGTCTGCCAGGGCAATGGCGCTGCCAAAGTAGGCGCCCACCTGCGTGCCCTCCAGCACCTGTCTCTTCCGCAGGTCTCCGCCTGTCTCCTGGCTCAGCAAGAAGACAGCGCCTACATGTTCGTGCCGTGGAGCTCCCGTCACAATGGTGTTGTCTGTCGGGTGCAGGATAGCACTGCCCACCTGCACGGTGTACCCTGAAATGGGGGAGAAGGTGGTCAATCAAGGACCCAATCAGCTTTGTCCCCCTCTACCCTGGATGGCCCTGTCCCTTGGCCGCCCTCGCAATTTCTTCTATTCCTGTAGTTAATACTGAGCCAACAACTGGACACTAGATACCTAGCAGGGACACTCCATCTCAGCTCTGGGCCGTGCCTGCACAATGGATTGGGGACTCTCAGGGAGGAACACTACATCTTAGGTGCTGAGAATAGGGTCTGATGCTCAGTCAATCTATGCTAGCTAATCGGAATGTCCCTAGTTACTCCCCAATGACCTCATATTGCACCAGACACAGAAGACAAGGGACTGGACCCCCTTCTCCCTCTATATCCATGGGCCACCCCAAGCCGACTCACCAATGTACAGGTTTCCTTTGTCTTCTGTGTCCTTGTAACTGTATTCTGATAAGTCCCAGTCCTTCCTCTGAATCATGTAGCTGTTTCCTTCACAAGGATGCAGGAAGAAGGGAGGGCACCGTCACCATCCCTTCCCTCCCTCTACCAACCAGCCTCCTCCCGCCCCCAAATAAAGATAACATGAATCCCTTTAATTTGTGAGCACTTTGCCATTTGAAAGTCACTTCTTTATTAGAATTAGTCTATGAGGTAGGATAATGGTCCCATTTTGCAGATGAGAAAACCAAGGCTCAGGGTGGGAAACAGACTTGCCAACAGTCCCATGGGGAGCTAGTTTTAAAGACATGATTGGAACCCAGTTATGTAGACTCCTACCTGGTGTTTACTGTACTAGATGATGTTTCTCCTACTCTCTAGACACTGAGATCAGACTCAACTTCATTATCTGTTTCTGGTCCTGTCCTCAAACTCTGGGCTGCCTACCTGGCCCCTGCTCCCAGGGCAGGTGCTAGAGAGTGCCTGTGGTAATCCCCTCCTCCTCTGGCCCCAAGGCATTAATAGACCCGGGGTGGGGGATGGGAGACAGAACCAGAGGAGGGGGCCAGGCTTGGCTATGCTGCAGACTTAGGTGAGCTCGGGGCTGTGACCATGCCCCAGACTACCTGTTGGTAATGGAAGAGAGAGATAGGAGATTAAAGAAGTGTGAGATAACACAACACCCGCAAGGTGGTTGTTCCAAGCAAGGGTTTTGATATGAGCAAATACTTGCAGCCCTAAAAAGATCAACATATACAAGGGGGCTTCAAAATGCTCGTGAAAAAATGAAATAAAAAGAAAATGTAATTTTTCCATGAACTTTTTGAAGCCCTCTGGTATATACTGACATGAAAAAAAAAAAAATCCCAGAATTTACTGATAATTGAAAAGAAAAGGGAGCAAAAAAGCATGTTTTGTGTGATTGTGTTAAAAAACGAAACCACAGCCTATATATTCTAAAATAAGTCTAGAAGAATTCTCTGAGAAAGGGAACTAAGGTGGTGGGTGGGAGAGGGCAGCACTTTTTATTTTACCAAACCCTACTGTGGTATTCAGGAGTACCAATGTGGCACTGTAGGATAAGCACTGGACCGCAAGCTTGGTTTAAACCACAAGGTCAGAGGTTCAAATTCAATAGTGGCGCCTCAGAAACCTTATACGGAGTTACTATGAATTGGAACCAACTCGACAACATTTAAAAACAATGGTTATATTTAGCTGTTGCATTGGGCTGAAGAATGTCCCTGCAAAACTCGTGTCCACCTTGTCATTGTTGTTATTAAGTTGCTATTGAATCAGTCCTGACTCCTAGGGACCCTAGGCACGATTTCCAAGGAGCAGTTGGAGGATTTGAACGGCTGACCTTGTGGTTCCCAGTCCAGTGCTGATCCTACAGCACCACACCAGGAGTCCCATGTCCACCTAGTACACCTCGAAATATGGCCTTATTTGGAAACTGGGTCTTTGCAGATGTAATCAAGTTAAGATGAGGCCATGACTGGTGTCAGAGAAGACACACTGCAATGCTGGACATGGGACAACAGAGGCAGAGATTAAACCGATACAGCTACAAGCCAACAAACCCAAGAATTGCCTGCAACCCCTAGGAGAGAGGCACAGAAAAGATTCTCCTCCAGAGTCTCTGCAGAGAGCATGGCCCTGCTGACATCTGGGTTTTGGACTTCTGGCTTCCTGAACTGTGAGAGAGCACATTTCTGTTTTATTAAACTATCCAGTTTGTGGGAATTTAATCAGGCAACCCTGTGAAGCAATACATTATTTTTAAAAGGTTAAACTAGAATCAGTTGGACCTAGGCCTCAACTCAGGCTTCCTAACTTCCTGTTATTTAAGGAATTAAAGGCTCAGTTTTCTTTTCTGTAAAATGCATATAATAATACTTGCCTCATAAGACTACTATGAAGAATAATGAATATAATTGGTGTTAAGCCCCTGGCACATAGTAGGTGCTTTACCACAGTAGGGGTAAAGGTGGCTTCATTACTGGCAAGAAGGCCAGTCTCTTCTGCCCCTTAGTGTTGGGGGTGTGGGTTGGCTATCCTAGTGGCTCCTTCTCCCCTCCCTCAGGATCCCCACCTTTCCAGTTGTAGGCACCGGGGGCCCCGAAGTACACGGTGTTCTGGGTGAAGCCGCCGCTGGTGCCCAGCTGGCACATGCCCGTCTCCAGGTAGTCAGTGTTGCTATTGCACATTTCGTTGTGGTAGGTCTGCCAGTCATCACTGGAGTCTAGTTGGAGGTCATTGCTCCGCACGTAGCACTTGCCCACCATGCGCCGTTGGTCTTCTGACCCCGACCACAGCACCTGGGTGTAGCGGTGGGCGCAGACCTGGGGACCCCCAACACACACAGCCTGAGCCTGCAGAAGGCACCCAGGGCCTGCTAGCTCCTTTGCCCTGGGCACCTGTAGGTTTGGGGACCAAGCTAGAGGAAGTCTTCTGGCTTCTATCCCTTCCCACAGTGATGCCATGCCTGTCTGGCTTTCTGGAATTCAGAAATTTGCTCTGAAGGTTGGGAACACTTTTTGGGAAGTCAAAAGGTACCGGATCTGAGAGGGGCTTAGAGATGTTTGCAATACGTGAGGGTTCAGACTCGTAGGTCTAAAAGGAGCAAGTGACAGAGCACATCACAGAACCTGTCTCTCTACCCCCTGATGACCTGTCTTCTGGCTGCAAAGACCATTGTTCATGGGCAATAATAGTGTAGCAGCTAACGTTTACTGAGTGCTTACTATATGCCAGGTACAATTCTAAGATCTTTTCACACACTGACTCTTAAGTTTCCTAGCAACTTCATAGAGTAGGGACAATTATTTCCCCCATTTTACAGATAAGGAAACCAAGGTACAGAAAGCTAAAGAACCTGTCTAAAATCTCACACCTATCATTGTTGATGTTAGCTGCCATTGAGTCCATTCCTGAGTCATGGTTCTGAGCCATCCCCAGATGGACTGGGAAGCAGTGAGGGTGTACTGCCGAGAATGGAACCTGGGTCTGTCTCCGCATAGAAGGGGAGAATCCTACTTCTGTGTCACTGTTCCCTCTCTGCACAGGTGGAGACCCTGGACGGTACAAACACACTCAGCTGCTAGTGGAAAAGGTGGAGGCTCAAGTCCACCCACAGGCACCTCAAGAGAAAGGCTGGCGATCTGCTGTTACTGTTCACTGTCTCTGGGAACCCCTAATTCATGGTATCCCCATGCGTTAGAGAGTAGAACTGTTCCATGGGATTTTCTTGGCTGTAATCTTTATGGAAACAACTTCCCAGGACTTTCTTTCATGGAGTGACTGTGTGGCTTTAAACCCCCAACATTAAGGTTTTAGCAGCTGAAGGAAAAAAAAAAAAAGGTAGCCACTGATAACTCTCTGGCACTAGTGATATACACATGGGGTGTGTCTCCATGAGTCAGAATCAACTCCACAGATAAGGAAACCGAGGCACAGAGAGTGAAGTAACCCACCTGTTGTTGTTGCTTTTCGCTTTTTGTTGTGAATTGGGCGAAGGTTTACAGAGATCAGTTTTCCATTCAACAATCCATACCCATGTTGTTTCACGTCACCGTTTACAATCCCCTCGATGTAACATCATGTATCCATTTCCTCCCTGTGTTTCATGGTCCTGATCCTCCTTCTTTCTTAACCCTTTTTGTTACTGTTATTGTGCACCATGGAGTCAATCCTAACTCAGAGCTACCCTATATGACAGAGGATAACTGCCCCATAGAGGACTTTCCGGGCTGAAATCTTTATTGGAGCAGAATCAGTGGTTCTCTTCTCCCTTGGAACAAAGTAACCTTAACTGTTGCGCCACCAGAGCTCTTTAAAACAGCCTGGGGTCAGGCAAACCCAGAGCCAGCTTACTTGTTTTTGCATATATGTGTGCGTGTCCACCTCTGATTACAACCCTGCCTTAAGCCAATTCTGTGTCCCCAGAGCCAGTTCAGTGCTTGGAGTACAATAGGTATTCACCAAATATTTGTTGAATGGATGAGTGGATAGGTGGAGATAATTGTGAACCCCACCTCAAATGGTATCCCACCACCACCCATAACAAAGACCAAACCCAAATACCATCCAGTTGATTCCAATTCAGTGACCCTGCCCGCAGAGTAGAACTGCCCCATAGGGTTTCCAAGGCTGTAAATCTTTGCGGAAGCAGACTGTTATATCTTTCTCCCAAGGAGCAGCTGGTGGGTTCGCACTGCTGAACTTCTGGTTAGTTTAAACAGATTAATCAGATTTACCACTGCGCCACGAGGGCCCTTCCATTCATAACAGAGGTCTAGAAAATGCATTGGTGAACCAGTGTAAACCTGGATCTTTAAACAGCATCCAAAGGTGGCAGAAATCCCAACAGTCATTGAGGGCTACTGGCATGGGCAGTTGATGACTTTCTAGACTGATGTAAATATGCTGTATCTTTAATGGGGTTTGTTTACACAGGCATATATAGTTGTCAAAACTCAATTCAACAAAATCTGCATTTTGTTGTATGTAAATTTTACATCCATTTAAAACATGACCAACCAATGGACTCTCTAAGACTTGAACTGGAGGAGACCTCTGATAGGTGATAACTGACAGCAGGATGTGGCCCAGAGCAGTGCTGGGTGGGCCTTGGTCAGCAGGTCTATGCCTCTTCCTTCCGTCCGCCTCCCAGGAAGGAGTGCTGGCCAGGGCTTAGTGCCCGGGGCCCTCTCTGCCCTTTCCTCCTCGAAGCTCCCTCAGTTCATTCCCACGATGGGTAGGGCAGGGAGGAAGTGGATGATTCAGACAGGACCCAGGCCATGCCCACCCTGGGAGAATGCCAGACCACTCCTCCCCACAACTCACAGGAGCTCAGAAAGCAAAGATCTCATCCCTGACAAGCCGTAAGGCTGGAGACTACACACCAACAGACACAGTCCCAGAGGGAGACATTTGTCAAGGTCCAGGCATACACCCCTCCTCTCTGGTCCACTGCCTCCCTCCCCAGCCCTGTAAGATGAGGATGAGCTAGTAATTAGTGCACACTTACCAGCACTCTGCCTGCAGGGCCCTGGCTGGCCACAGTCACCCCAAGCCACATGTCTTCAATGATGTGACTGGCAGGGTCACCTGTGTGGCGGGGAGGGTTCGTGAGTTAGGGTACCTTACCCCATGCTTCCAGTGCCCAGAGCCTCCACAAGGCAGGGACTGGGCCCTCTACCCCAGCAGGGCAGCCCTCCCACCTCTCCTTCCCAGCCCATCTTTCATCTAAGTAACACAAACCCCTGATTGATATCTCACTTGGTTCCACTCTCCTCTCAGGATCCCTCTTCCCAGCTAGACAAGAAGTGTCTAGAAACTGCAAGACCCATACTGAGCTCTCTTCTGGGCCCTCTCTATGCTAGTCCCCACCAGGGTCCTGACCCAACCTGGTCCCCATCCTTTTCCCTCACTTTTTTCCTCGATGTTCATCCGCTCACAGTCATTCTTGTGGCCCGTGAGAGGGCACAGATACACAGCACCGGTCCGGTTGGTATATCCATCAGACATAGCAAGGTCCTGAGGGGCACCAGCCAGGAGCCTGGGGGGTAAGGAAGCAGAGGAGTTGGGTTCAGACTCTGTATGGCCCCTTTTAAATAGATGCTGTTCAACATGTGTCTATAAGCATCTGCTTTGTGTCCGGCACTGTATCGGGGCCTAGAGGTATGGAGATGAATGGACCACGGTTAGTACCTTCATGGGGTGTCCTGTGTGGACAGGCAGGCAAGGAAGCTGACCCCCCACAGAACGTGTACCATACTTTGGGGGCCCCCCAAAGGTATGGTCCTGGACTGAGGATGAGGTTAGGATTTACCAGGTGAAGAAGGGGTGGAAGGGCAAAGGTAGAGCGTGTGCAAGGCCCAGGAAGCATGAGCAAGCAGGATGATCTGCAAGGAGACAGCTAGAGGCCAGGAACTTCAGGGAGGCCAGTAAGGGACAGAGGCCAGGGTGAGAAGGACCTCGGAGGAATGAGAGTGGCATGGTCAGGTTTGGGTTACAAAACGAATGCTTTGGTCTCTGAGATGAAGGTAAATTGCAATTTACAAGACTGAAGGAATTCTGGCCCTGAGTTCAAATCCCAAGGAGGCCTGAGGGAAGACCCTTGTGAGGGAGTAGGGTGGAGTATTGGATGCCTGGGTTTTTCCTCAATAAGCCACTGGAGGACTGGACTAGAGGAGAACTTGGGTGGGAGAGTTGGGGTCTAAGTGATCTGATGATGACCAACCCTCCTCCCTACCTTGAGACAGGACCACAAGCTACTGGGTAGGGGTGGCACCTGACACTTGGAACAATGTGGCCCCAGAGTAAAGCTCCTAGTGGGTTGGCATTAGGGTGGGGTGAACAAAGACTACTGCTTTTCCCTACAGTCTGCCCAGAATCAGCTTTGGGGACACCAACTCTAAGTTCCCACAAGGGTGCCGATGGCCCTGTTCCAATGGGAAGCTTCATTGTCATGGTCACCTATCCCATCTCAGAGGGCTAACTGGGGGTGGGGGAAAGCAAGAGATTAACCTTGAAATAATAGCTCAAAGGACAGTCTATGGACTGACCTCCAGCTCAAACAATCTGGAATATTCAATACAAAAGCAAATTCTTCAGTCCATAGATGGAATGGGAGGTGGAGTTCTGGACCGACATTTTTTGTTTTCAAAAATTGTGGTAGCTATATGTTACAAAACAATGCCATTTCAACAAACTTCCCATGTATAGTTCAGTAACGTACATTATGTTCAGCATAGTGTTTAACCATCATCCTTTGCTAGTCCCAAATTTATCCATTACCCAAGCCCTGCATATTTAACATATACCCCAAATACTGTGTACCCATCATCTGAGGATCCAGATTTACCCACTGTTGTTGCTGTTAAGTGCCATTGAGTCGGTTCTGACCAGTAGCGGCCCTGTATAGGGTTTCTGAGGTGAGCTTGGAACTGGTGAGCTTGAACCGCCACACTTTCGGTTCAAACCGACTTTGTAGTCCAGTGCATTAACCCCCAGAACCTACCCCTTGCTTTTTCTCTACAGCTTGTCAACGTTCATCTAGGCTTCTCTCCACCCCTACATCTCCATCCTGGTAGAACAGCCTCCCAGGCAGTGAGCACCCTCCAGGTGTCCCTCTACTCAGCCCCAGCAATGCTATCAGCCTGAGACTCCAGGTCAAAACCTGATCTCTGGGCCTCCTGCCAGAGTCGGGCAGTGCCCCCTGCATGCAGCTCCTGCCTGGCCCTGGGAGCGAGGGTTGCTGGGAGTGGGTAGGGCAGGGCCTGGGCATGCAGAGGCTTGGGGTGCCTCCGCCCACTGGTGTTAGGAATGCACTGCCTGGGGGCGCTGCTGGGAAGGGGGTGGGGCCTCTGCCTGCACCTCACATCCGCAGCCTGGGGAAGTGTTCTAAGGAGCAGGATGCGGCTTCTCCAAACAGGGCAGTGTCAGGAGTTTGGGTCTCGGAGGCTGGCTTGGGGCCAATGAGGCAGCCAGGCCCAGTTAGTCACCTACTGTCTGGACTGAGGAAAGTACCAGGCCACCCATGGACACCTGTCCCCTGATGCACAGGAAACACCAGAGAAGGAAGCACTGAGCCTAGGGGAAAGGAACACTTGGTTCTAGGCCTTGTTCTCATCAAGGAACAATTTCCTGTGCTCAAGGAACCTTGAGTGCCTCATCTGTAAAAGGGGGACAGGAGCTATCCTGCCCACCTCCAGGGTTGTTGGGAGAACAAACAGATTCATTCTGTGAAAACCTTTGGGACTATAAAGCCAAGGCAATGTGAGGACTGTGGGTCTGGTTTCTTGTGGCCCCTGGACTCATCCCAGGAAACTCTCCTGCCAGTTGAGGGAACCTGGAGCAGAGAAAAACAACAGACTAGTTCAGCTGTTTACAAAGGAGCAGATGATGGGACCTTCCTCAGCCTTCCTCACCCTAATGATACCCAGCAATCACTAAGGTGGGGCTGGGGAATGCTGGCAGCCATAGTCAGTCTTGCGGGATGCTCAGATTTGTCGGAAGCTTGTGGATGGGGAATGGACAAATAACCTTGAAGAAGCCCAGCCTCAGTGGGCAAGGGTTGTATTCCAGGTTATTTGATGCAGTGGAAGTGTCTGGCCCTGGGGGCTGCTCTTCCTGAGTCTGAGGGGCAGGAAGGGAAGGCAGAGCCTTCTGGGGTACTGAGCAAGCAGAGCTTGCTGGATTGAAGGGACTGGATTGAAATAAACCTTCTCACTACAATACCCTTCCCCGGCCCTCACCCAGCTGATAGGGGGGTGAGACAGGGCCTGGGCCAAGTTCCAGCCCTACATCCTAGGTCCCTCCCTCTCCAGAGATTCCACTGGGAGCACCCCACCAACTCCCCTTAAAGTATTTTTAGCTCCTACTTGGCCCACTCAGAGGCCCTTTAAGGCCCTCTGGCTCCCAGCCCAGCATCCAATGGGTCTACAGCCAGAGGACTGCGTGTGGATGGGGGAAGCGAGTGTGGAGAGGGTCAGGTCCAACTCCCTCCAGCCTTAACCAGGTGTGTGTGGTGGGAGCTAGTGAATCCAGAGGGCTAGAAGGACCTATGATATGCAAATATGACATAAATGAATATGCAAAGAAACACCTCAGCTATCACTGATTGGCTGTGGTTCAGATCTAAGGGTCCAGAGGGGTACCCTTCCTAACCACCTCAGAACTCCCAGCAGAAGTCAGGAGGGAAGCTAAGTGGAGAGATAACTTGCTGGGTCTGAAAGCAAGGAAGAAAGCCCCCTTCTCTGGTGTCAGGCTGTGCTTGGTGGGAGCAGGAGCCCCTGGAGGCTGGGGGATGAGTGAAATGACCTCTCAAGGGTTTTTGAACAGCTGCCTCCTCACCATCTCATTTGACTGCAGCCAGACAGCCCCTCCTGGTCCCTGGGGAGCCCCTAGAGCTCTGGGTTCCGGAAAAGCACTCCTTCACCCTACCCCATCACTCCTCCCGGGGCAGTTCTAATGGAACGGCCCAGTTAAAAGCAGCAGAATTGGAGAAGGCTAGAGAATGGGGCCCAGGAGAGCTCTAGGTTCGCTCACCCCAAAGAGAAGACTGGGGGTGGGGGAATGTAGAGGATACTCAGAAAAACAGCCAGTAAGAGTCAACTTCCCAGTCTCCTCACCTCCCCTCAGGAGGTGCTTCCAATGGGAAGAGTTTCTGTTAACTTGGCCTAAGTAAAAGTAGGGGTCAATGGGGACCTAGTGCTCGGGGCCAATTTTATTGTTAAGTGCCATCGACTCGGTTCCGACTCCTAACAACCCTGTATAGGGTTTCCGAGCAGAGGTTGGTTAGTTTGAACCGCAGACCTTGTAGTCCAGCACAGTAACCCACAGCACCACACCAGGCCTCCTGCCCCATCCCCACATTTTACTCTGCAATTCCCAGCCCCTCCCAAGTTCTCCTCCCACCCAGGCCAGGAAGCAGGTGGGGGAGGGGACCTACTCCAACCCTGACCCCCAGGAAGGAGTGGCAGCTCTCTGGAGCTAGCCAGCTGGGTGCCAATCCTGCTCTCCAAATTAGTCATCTCCTTAAAGCCACTTCTACAGTAGCTGAAACTATAGCCATCAGTCCTTCCTTCTTATCCTGCCCATCCAGTGCCCTCGCCCTCCCTCTCTCCAGGGGTGATGCAGCCCTCAACAAGCTAGGGAATGCCAAAGAAGGAGAGGGGATGGGAGCAAGACTTTGGTCCAGGCAGCCAATAAAATAGAACAATGCTGGGTTTCTTGTTTCATTTCTTTTCCCTCTCGTTGGATCTTCAGTATCCCCCCACTTCCTCTCCCCCTTCCACCAATATTTGACCCTTTAGAAAGTTCTTCCTGTCATCTAACCTCAATCTTTCTTACTGCCATGATTATCTCTCTTCCTTTCGCCTTTGTTGAGCTCTGACCAAGCCCTTTTGATATTTCCTTCCCTACAAGATTAGCTATCCAGTTTAAAGTCCTGTGGCCTGGATTGGTGAGAGGGAAAGAACACTACACACGAAGGCCTTCTTCCTGCAGCCATAGCTGCTGGGCCCATTTCTACCTGGCACGAGCCTCAAAAGATGCCAGATGCCTGCTCTGCCCAGGAAAACAAGTTTTAGAGAACACAGCAGGTAAGCCTAGCTCCTGCCTACCTCAGGTATGACTTCATCTCACAGGAGCCTCCACCAGCCCCACCCCAGGTTTTCCAAACACGGTCCCTTCCAGGCAGGTATCCCAGAGCCCAAAAACTCAGGTTAGGACAGCACAGGACACCTGGATTCTGGGAGCTGTTGCTGAGGAGGATTGCACTTCAATAAGCACTTCCCTGAGAAACAGTCCCTTTTCCCCAGGGCCACAGTCCTCTCCCCAGGAAATGCCTAAAGTCTTCCTCAGGTCAATCTGGCTCCTCAACCCCAGAGACTGGGAGGTCAGCAGGGTCTGGGCTAGGACAAGCCTCCTATGTCAGAGGCTGAGAGCCCTTGTCCTGAGGTAAAGTGACCGGACAGCAGAGGGTCCACATGAGGATTTCAACCATTTCTGGAATGACACCTTCTTAGAGTATAGGAGATTTTGCATACTCTTTTAGGAGTCCCAGCATCCCCTAAAACCTTCTGTCAACGAGGGACTATAGGCCTACTCAAGACCCAGAACTCTCGCCCTTTACCCAAGAAACCTTGAGGCTAACAGATGAGGTTGCAATGTGACTTGCTAGTTCCCCTGAGCTATGCATTCAAGCAGCTGTTCACATCTGGCTGACCAGCTGTAAATCCAGCTACACCCAGCTGGCTCTCCCAAAAAACTAAGGGGCAGAATTCAGTGAAACGAACTTAGAACCACTCTTGGGAAAGACTGAGGATCTCCACACTCTGCCTAGAACTGCCTGCCTCTCTGGTTCAGAAAGCACCAGCCTATTAGCTTTAGAACCTTCTAGGCTCATGGCAGGCCTACTTGCCACCAATAGCCCTCCAGGAAGAAAAGTTGAACCCTCTCGGCTCAGCCCCTGGCTGGGGTCCTTGAGTAATGGGAGTGCCTGAGGGCTTGGTCTTAAGAGCTTTCAGCTGCTACTTGGAGATGTGGGCAATTCAGAGCCTTTTATACACATTACCTCATTAAACCACACTATCCCCCTTGGCTGCTAACTGAAAGATTAGAGGTTCAAACCCACTCAGAAGCTCTGCAGGACAAAACCTGACAGTCTGTTCCTGCAAAGATTACAACGTAGAAAGCCCTATGGGGGCAGTTCTATACTGCCTTATGGGGTACATTCTCCTATACTCTAAGAAGGTGTCATGGGGTTGCCATGAGTTGAGATTGACTTGATAGCACATAAAAACATCACCCCATGAGGAATGGTTAAGTGCTGGGCTACTAGCTGAAAGGTTGGAGGTCCGAACCCAACCAGAGGTGTCTGGGAAGGATGACCTAAAAAAACAGCCATTGAAAACCTCACGGAGCACAGTTTTACTCTGACACACAGCGGGTAACCATGAGTCAGAATTGACTTGATAGCATCTGGTATCACCGCATGAGGATGGTGTTGTGCTATTCTTCTTCCCCCCCTCACCCCAACCCCTCCACATATGAGGAAATGAAGCTTAAGTCTTAGTGACAGACCCCAGACTGGTCAAAGGCAGTAGGACTCCCAAGCCTCTTCTTCATCCACAAGGTCAAACTGCCTCTCATAGGACAACAGAGGTAGGAAGGAGCATATGGACCCTGGCCTAACCCCTCTTTGGGGAAAATTGGTCCAGAGAAGGACAATCTCTTGATTAAGGTCACATAGCAAAGGGGGTGGGTACAGAATCATTTACACTAAGATTTCTGGCCTTTTTACAATGTGCTGCCTTATAGCATGCAGACTCGGCATTAAGTCAAATGTAATCTTTGTCTGGGTTGGGGTACAGAGAACACTAATAATGAAATTTATGCTGATGGTCACTTAGGGTCTCCAAAAAAATGGTGGCCAATGCCAGACTGCACCTGCTGAGGTCAACCTGGGAAGAGTGTGGTGGCCAGAACCTCTGCAGAAGCCAGATGAAGTTGTGGCCAAGTCCAGGCAGGTATGTTAGGCAGGGGCTGGGCCCACAGGGCAGTGGCCAAGGCTGTGGCAGAGCTTAGACTTTGAACATTTCAAGTTTCTGCAGGCTCCAGACGAAGCAGGGAGGAATTTCAAGGCACCCTTGATCTAACCACATTCTCTAGTTCAGTGGAGTCAGAGGCCAGGTAGGGACAGACTCCTGCCAGGTCACCCAGTCCAGAGAGATAGATGAGTCCTACCAGGTTTATCCTAACCACTGTCCCTCCCTGGGCAGTCTTGCTTCCTTTAGTTGTCCTCTTCCCTCAACTGCAAACCCCAGCGCGCTCTAAGCCCACGGGAATAGCCAAGAAGTAGATATGTCCCTTTGGGCATGTGAGTGCTTGTGCGTATGTGCGGTGGGAATGGGAGCAGGAGAAGCAGCTGGATGTAATCTCCTTCCCCTCCTTTCCCTATGCCCAGCTCCTCCTTCGCCTTCTTCTAGCAGCTGTTGGGGAAGGAGACCAGAAGAAAGAGAAAAACACCATTTCCCTCTTCAAACCAAAACAAACACACTCTGGGTAGAAGATTCAACATGAATCTGTGGAATGCAGGACGATGTCTGGTGGAGAGAGCGTCACTGCTGGGGGTGGGGGGGCAAGAGACCGAGCAGAGGTTGAGGCAGCCCCTCCTCTCTTCTACTCTCCACATCTTCAAGGGGTTAGCGTGAGCGTTATGACAGTTCCAAACCGCCCAGACTCAGCCTCCCACCGCTAAGCGGTGAAGGAGGCCCATCCAGTCAGCTCTGTAAAGGGTGTGGCTGGTGAGGCCACAGACTAAATTCGAGGTGTAAGGAGAGGAGGAAGCAGGTTTAAAGACAAACGCCCTTGGTTCTTCCCAGGCGAGTGTGTGGGGTGGATGGGAGGGAGGAGAATTACATCTTGCAGTTTGCCCCAGCTCTGGAAAAAATAAATAGACTAGTGCTTGGCGCTAGGTTCACAGAAAGGAATGAGAGGAGGCTCAGCAAACAGGACCCTACTTCCGCTCCCAGGAGAGGTCTAAAGGACAGAAAGGCTCCGCCTAGGCACGTTCTGATCGGGTCAGAACTTGCCTTTGATGACTGCCCCACACCCTATACCCAAACCCTTAGTTTCCCGCCCAACTCCAGTAGCCCGAGGGTTACCCCTGTCTCCTCCCCTTAATCCTCTATTCCCAAAGGGCTGGTGGTAGCGTTCTGGAAGTCTGCGAGCCCAAGGCTCGGACTTCGCTCCAGATCCGCATCCCATAGCGCACATTTCCTTCCCTCTATACCCGTCAGCCTCACTTACAGGTAGCGATGCTGCCGCTCCGTCTGCCGATGGAGGGCGACAGAGTATCCAAAGAGACTGCCTGGGTTCTGGGCCTCCTTCACCACCAGGAATTGGGTGTCCAGGTTGAAGGCGGAGGCAATGCGGCCGCCGGCAGCCACCATCAAAGCGAGCGCGCAGAGCACTGGGCATGGGGCGCGGGGTGCACGGCGGGGACCAGGGCCCATGTCTGCGAGCTGGAGACCAGGCAGGGTGAGAGTGCGTGAGAACGCGAAGCTGGAAAGGAGGACCTGTTCCACCTGCTCCCAACGCAGCCCTGGTCTGGCCCACCGCGTTCCCCAGTCCAGATCAGTTTCTTGCTCCCAGCTCTGGTCGGTTTCACGTCCTCTTTGGATCTTCTTCACCTTATCTCCCTGTTTTTCCCGCAAGTCTAGTCTCTAGCCTCCCCGCCGGGTGACCGCCCCTCGCACCCGGCTCCCGGCACCCCAGTCTGTCCCGGCCGCGCCCCCTTGGCCGCGTTGCTGCCTTATAACCCGGCTAAGCGGCAGATCTGCGCCAGTCGACCGCACTACCGCAAGGAGGGCCAGAGGGAGGGGTCTCTCCCGCGCGCGCCCCGCCTCCCCACGCCCAGCCCCCACCTCCCCACCTTGAGTGTTCAGCCCGGATTCGCTTTCCTTCCGGGGAAGGAGAAAAGGTCCGGGCTCCACCACCGCCTCTTAAAGGGGCAGTACCGCCCCTCCCTCCTCATCCTCCCTTCCCCGACTCCGCCCTCTTTTCCCAAACACCTGTCTGGGGCCCCCCAAAGGCTTGGATTTCCATGTCCCCGGCTACCCCCGGGAAGCGTTGCCTCCAGAGCAAGCTGGATTGGACGGGCAGTGACAGGGTTGGGATTTGTCCCGCCACTTTGCTGCGGCTTGCACTACTGCCGTTCCAGTCTCAACCACCTCGACCTGGAGGGCCCCCGTGTGAGCGCGTCTGGTAGCCAAAGTCCGTGCGCGTCTGCTTGGAATGCTGGATTCACCTCCTCACCTCTTGAGAGGTGGCTAGCAGTCTCTGGGCGTTCCTCCTCTTACCCAGAATTTTGGACGTCTTTGCTGAGATTTATTTCTCCAGCTCACGCCTCCAGGGAGCGCAGTGGATTCATACGCTAAGCACTGAACTGCGAACCATAATGTCCATGGTTCGAGCCCGCTGGACGCTCAACGGGAGCAAAAGGAGGCTTTCTGCTCCTGTGAAGATTTAAAGCCTTGGAAATCCTATACAGGAAATCCTATACAGGGTCGCTGTAAGTCAAAGCCAACTCGAAGGCACTTGACAGCAACAATACCTCCCTCCCCCATCCGACTGGGAATGGCCCTTTAACAAAGCCAGACAAATTTTAAGAAGCGATAACAGTCAAATATCGCTATTTGTAATTAGCAACCTGACAGCTTTTTTCCGAAAGGGCTGAGTCCCTTGAGTGGGAATGAGTACCCATTTCTCATTCACTCCTTCTTTTAGATTGCAGCCTAGCAGAATCCCAAGGGTCCCCTCCTTCCTTCCAGGCTTAGAAACTGGGCAAGGGCGCCGAGCCACCGGGAGGTGTGTAGTGGGTGTCTGTTGCCAGATAGAAGTAGGTGGGTGGACCCAAAGGTCTAGAAAGATTAAACTTGAAGAGAGCCTCAATCGGTCGCTATGTACTTTGAGTCTAACTCAGACTTTCCTTATTGAAGCACAAATACTCATCTTTCTCTGAGCATTTTTTTCTCTTGCCTAAAGGTGTTTTGTAAGTTTGGTCTAGGAATCCAGACCCTCAGTGTCCATTCACTTGAAATTTAGCTTCCAGCCCCCATTTCTAGGAAAAACATACCAAAGTATTAGTATGTTAGCAACTCAAATATTATTAAAGCCTTATAATGATCTTTGAGGTGTTATTTTCATTTTTATTGTTGTTGTTAGGTGCCACTAATAGTGACAGTGTTTATAAAATAATGAAACACCGCCCTGTCCTGCACCATCCACACAATCATTGCTGTTTGAGCTCACTGTTGCAGCCACTGAGTCACCATCTCCACAAAGTTTTTCCTCTTTTTTGCTGACCCTCTCTTTACTTTATCAAGCACGATGTTCTTCTCCAGAGACTGGTCCCCTCCTGATCATATGAAGGGAACATGTAATGTCCACTTTGAAAATGAGGACACTGGACTTCAGGGAAGTTAAGCAACTTGGTGAAGGCCACAGGGCTAGAATTCTAATCTTGTGTTATCTGATCTTGGAGTTCTCCTTCTTAACCATTTATGCTAAAAATTAGCATTTGTACACTATTCAAGGCAGATCCAGATTTGGTGAGGTCTGAAACTTGTACAATATGAAGACTCTCTTTAAGGCAAATAATAAAGAACTAGGAATATAAAACTAGATATAGAACCCAGAACCTAATTTTATAGTTTATGAATCATTTCATGTTCTGACTTTCTTTCTATCCTCCCGGCATCCTTGTGATATCAGGATCATCATCCTCATTTGACTTATGAGCAAATGGAGGTTCGGAAGGTTACCTGGATGGCCAAGGTCACGCAGCCTGTGGGAGGTAGAGCTGGGACTGGAAGCTACTGAGCACAGCTGTGTCTGTAAGGGACAATCTCTAGGCAGATGTTGATCAGACGGCGAGGCACACCTAAACAAAAACAGCTGTGATAACAGCTTTCTATGTGGTGTGTAAAGAGAGAACACACATCCCAATCTGCCCTTATGATAGCATTTGTTCCTGAGCTGTGATTCTCAGAACTACCCAACCTATCTCATGGTCTCCCTTGGGTCCTGCAGGGTCTCTGGGTGTTAGAAGACATCGGGCAGTGGGATAGTATCAAGGAACAGGAGTTGGCCTGGATAGAAGTTGAACTATAACCTTTGCTCTTCTTCTGTTTAGCTGCTGGTCCTCCACCTTCTTCTTGGAGAAGAAGAGCTAGCCAGGGCCAGGAGTCAGAGATTCGTGGTGGACACCCAGTGTGGGCAGGGATCCCATCCAAAACATCTCTGAGAGCTATGGAATGACAGACTGACAATATGCTAAGCGTTATCTCTTTGGCCATCCCAAACAGGAATGACCAGCATGTCCGATCCCAGGACTGGGAGCAGGAAAGGGATGAGGGCTGGTTTTTCCACTCCAGTGGAGTGTCCAGAGAGAATGTGGGGGTGGGAACAGGGACAACTAGTAGGCAGAGGGCTCTCACTGCTGAGGAATGTGGGGGAGTATCAGAAAGATCTCAGGGTTGGAATGAGGGTGGAGGAAGACACCTGGAGTCTGGAAGGGTCTGGGCTGGAGAGATGCAGAAAGAGAAATCCCAAATTCATGTCAGAGATCCGAATTTCACAGGTTTCAGTGACGTTGTCATGAAACTTCATCTCTTCTCTCAGTTGACTTTATCTGTCACACACACACACACACACACACACACCCCACACACCCCTATGGAGGAAGGACTCAACAAGGAATGAAGACAGAGAAACATGCAAACTATGGATTCTTCTGTGGGTCAGGGAAAGTCTAGACAGGCTTCCTGGAAGAGGAATATCTAGATAAGAATAGGGAAAGAAAGGGCTAGTAAAAGGGAGCCTCAGGAAAGAAGAAAGGCAAAAGTGGTCCTGGGTTCGGCTGTGGGATGAAGTTTTCCTAGTGGGGAGAATGACAACATCAGTATTCTAGAAAGGCAGCTTCCGCTTATTTAGTGTTATCTGTGTTCACACAAACCTTCCTCTGCTGGCCCTCCAGCCCCCACATCATCTTAGTCTCCCAAAACCCAGAAGACACGTCTTAGTTCTCTCACCTCTTACAGCAAGTTAGCACGCAGGGTAGAGGTCAGGAGCACAGGCAGGCACTGCAGAAAAATCAGTGAGGTGGAACTGTGGTATTCTGTGCATGGAACACAACTCTTTGACCTTTTCACCTTGGGCAGGTGGCCTTTCAACTCCGGACCTTGGTTTCCCCATCTGCACTCTGAAAGGACAAGAGGAAATTCCTCCATTCTTCTCCAAGCAACTGTGTGTTCCTAAGGCTCCTAGTATTTGTTGAACTAAGTAGACTGAAATCTCTGCTGTTGAATGAAGATTCTAATCTCTATCTCTGACTTGCTTTGAAAATGCAAATTACTGGGAGGGGGAGGAAGAAATGGTGAAGTGTGAATGAGTTTATCAGATTTCCTTTCTTCAGTGACCCAGAAGTGGGTGGGAGAGAGCTGGGGCTGGGGCAGCTCTTGGCAGCTAACTCAGGATCTGTCAGTCTCAAACACTGACAGATTGTGTGCCGAGGAGTTACTGGGTGGTGCAAACGGTTAATGAGTTCCACCCGTCTACCCAGAGTGCCTTGGTGAACTACTATAAAATCAGTCACTGAAAACCCTATGGGGCACAGTTCTACTCAGGCACACGTGGAGTTGTCATGTGTCACAGTTAGCTCAATGACAACTAATTTGAGTATGTGCCAACGATGAATGAAGGTCTCTTCAGGGAGGCCAGTGTTTCATCCTGGCCCCACCTTCTGAACGCTCACCAAGTGACACAGGCTAAGCCCATATTAAGGAGTCCTAGTGGTACAATAGGAGCTCTGGTAGCGTAGTGGTTACGAATCGGACTATGAATCGCAAGATCACCAGTTCGAAACTACCAACTGTTCCGCAGGAGAAAGATGAGGCGTTCTGCTCCCGTAAAGATTTACAGCCTCAGAAACACTGTACAGGGTTGCTATGAGTCAGAACTGACTCCACGGCACTTAACAACAAAAAGTGGTACAACGAATAAGCATCAGTTGCTAAAGGAAAGTTCAATAGTTTGAGCCCACCAGTTTCTCTTTGAGAGAAGACTTAGTAACCTGCTCCCATAAATATTTCAGCCTCGGAAACCGTATGGAGTAGTTATGGGTCGAAACTGACTCAATGGCACTTTTTGTTGTTAAGTGCCATCGAGTCAGTTCCAACACATAGAGACAGAGACCCTGTATAGGGTTTCCAAGGAACTGCTGGTGAACTTGAACCACTGAGCTTATGGTTCAAACTGACCTTGCAGTCCAGTCCAGCACACTAACACGCAGTACCATGCTAGAATGGTGCTTTTGGGGAACAGAGGATATTAGAAATATCACCAGGAGCCAGAGAGCAAAGGGTGAGGTGGGCTGAGCTGGGGCAAAGGGAAGGAGGGTGTGGGTAAGAAAGACCCAGGACACCAGTTTCACCTGGACTTAAGGGGCAGGTGTGATGAAGGCTACTAGTGGTGGGAGAAGAAAGGGCAGAGGATTTCTGGGGATAAACAGGCAGTGGCTCCAAGCATCAAAGAAC